TAATGAATCCGAATTCTTTAACGACGGAGATACCACCGGTACCGGTACCGCTACCGGAACGGGTAGCGACGACTGAGGATAAAAGAACTGTTGGAGTTGGCCAATATTTCGGGGACCCTTGTTTCTCATATGGGGCACGCCCACGTGAGTTTAGGGAAACCGAAGTATAATCCAACGACATGTGACCCCTGCGCACGGAATCCGGAGGTTCGGATAGGCTTAGGTTTTTGGGTCATTTTAGGGCATATATATTGTGCTCCTTTTTTTTTATAGATCATTGTAACGAATTGTAAGGCGCTTAATGATAATTTATTGAGTTCAAGCCCCCTCATTCTCTCTTTTTGTCCCCAAATTTGATTACAATTTATATTGAATAATTCATTATTTCATAATTTCATTATTTTTTTTTTAAAATTTTAAATTATGAACCGGAACCGGCAGGAACCGGAATCGGAATGAACCGGCCCTGAACCGGAACCGGCCCGGAACTGACCCGGAACCGGAACCGCCCATGGCGGTTCCGGTTCATACATGGCCAAGAACCGGAACCGGCGGTTCCTGAACCGTGGCCATGATTTCCTCTCCGCGTCTCCGCGGGGTTGACTTATTACTTTCGTGAACCAGGCGTACACTGAAAGTCATGGCCACGGGCCAGTTTTGGCCCGGTCAAACCCGGGCCTGGCCCGTTGACCAGGCCCGCGGTTCGGAACTGGAATCGGCCTGTGGCCTACGGGCCCGGTTCCAATAATTTTGGAACCAGCCCGGAACCGCCAGTTCCGGTTCCGGTTCCAAATTATTTTAAAAAAAATAATAACAATGAAATTTTAAAAAAAATTCATTATTTTTTTTATAAGACAATTTGAACTCTAATTGCCATGCATTGTAAGTGCCTAACTACAATGCTTGGCTTGGGTGTATTGAACTCTAATTACAAGGCTTGGCTTAGGTTTTATACACAATGATTCTAATGCCTCTTCGTTCCCATTCGATGTGGGACTCTCGGCTTGCCTTGAATACCTTCAATGTGAGACTCTTGGCTTATCTTCATGCAATGCCAAGAGTCCCACATCGAATAGAATGAAGAGACCATCAAAGGGGTTATGTATAAAACCCAAGTCAAGCCATGAGCATGAGAAGTTGTATGCCTTTTGTGGCTACGATCCTTTGCTAGTTAAGAGAAAAGGGTTCCATTGGACCGCTTAGAACCGGGCCAGACCCACCGTCCTGTTCGGTTTTATGATTTGCCGGTTCGATTCCTAGTTCTAAAATTAAGGGATCGGTCTTACAGTTCATTTCCGGTTCGAGAACGGAACCGGACCGAACCAACCAATCACCTCTATAATTTACATTTTGATTACATTTATATTGAATAATTCATTATTTCATAATTTCATAATTCATTATTTTTTATTTCATAATTTATTTTTAAAATTTTTAAATTACGAACCGAAAGCGGTCGGTTCCGGTTCACACATATGGCCATGAACCGGAACCGCTGGTTCCGAACCATGGCCATAACTAGCTGAAGCTGAGTTTGTACTTGGCATAATGGCTGCTGGACTGGTTCACTGCACGACAGATTGTCTGAATATTACCTGAATTTACTAAATCCAAATTACAGATGTCGCTTCTGTTATTTTTATTGTACCGTGTTACCATGACATATCTTAGCCTGAGCATGTTCTGAAATTTTTTGACAAAAGTTTCATATTGAAATCTCGTGCGGAGTCTGCTTTTCATAGGGTTGAAGATAATTAGATGGGTGTCAGCCGTACATTTTTTTTTTAAAAACATTTTAGGCGGCATTTATACCATGGAAAGAGACAACGAGCTTTTGTCCCTTAAAAGCTTCTATCATTTGGGTTGATTTTGTACTGCTTATATTTGAACTTTTGAAACTCGTGCAATTAATATCCCAATTTCGCTGGCCTCAAGGTCGACATCTCACTAAATTAAGTATGAATTGGACCATAAAAATGAAAATGAAAACAGAAATCTTTGTTGCACATTAATTGCGTTCCTTCTGTGTGAGAATCAATTGAAATAGTGGAAAAACAAAAATCCTGAAAACAAACTCCAGAATCGACTTGGCAATTACGGTTTCATGATCTTAGGAATTGGTCCCCAAAGGACTGGTTCTCGATTTCTAAGAATTGATTCACTCGGACCATGTTCACTTGTAGCTAGTACCGCGAGTAAGGTTACAAACTCAATCTCAAACTGAGCCGCCTCAGCGGCAATTGATCATGGCTAAGATCCACGACCTCAAATACGAGCTGGGGGTTGCGATCGTATTGCTAACCATGGTCCATGTAAGAATATTCCCTGCACATAGCTGATGAAGTGGAGAGTTGATTCGCTCGGACCACGTTTACTCCTACTTGGTACTACAAGTGAGGTCACAACCTCGATCTCAGAATGAGCCACCTCAGCCGCCATTTGGTCCTCGCTAAGATCCACGACCTCAATTTCAAACAGAGGCCGCGATGGTAATTGAACAGCTTTTGGTTTGATCAGTTCTTGCATTTTCATCGGAGAAGCACGGATGCAATTGCTTCGCTATCATTTCGTTTTATTGGATGTGACTCCTTTTCTTGCAAATTCGTGCGCTTCCTTATGAAGAGAGGGACTGATGCTTGTGATTCAGCACTGGAAATTGTCCCTTACATGCAAATCCTGGCGAAAGTTGCATAAGAAACACCGGGAACTCGATGGCAGTTAATTATACTTAACGCCCTTTTTAAGTGTTTAGTATATGATATTTTGGGTGTTGATGACGACGAAATGTACGTCGTTACTAGGCATTAAGGTCTAAAATTATCCCTTTAAAAACGGTAGAAGGGATGTCCAAATCCTTTCGTATCTCCACTAGCAAATAAAAAAATTGACATTCAAGATATTAAACAAAATCATTTTAAATTGATTTGACTAAAATGCGCATAAAAGATAAATATATTCTTCAAACTCTATTCTCTCCTCCTTTTTCTCCATTATGGGATAATTTTCGGAAGATTTCAAATAAGGGTCTGAAGTGGACATTATCTCAAATAAGAGCTTGAAATGGCTTATTAGTCTCAAATAAAGGTCTGAAGTGGCCAAATCATCTCAAATAAGGACTTTTGGCTGGCCGGTGACTATTCCGGCGTCGGAGAAGGGGTATTTTAGTCCAAAAAATTTTAAATATATTTTTTTACTTTCTTTTCTTTCCTTTTTCCTTTTTTTCCTTTTTTCTCTCGTCTCTCTTGTGGCCATCGCCGACGACCTCCACCGGCCTTGGGTGAGGGCCACCCTCGCCGGCGTTGGGCGACGGCCGCCCTCGCCGGGGCAAGCGAGGGTTGCCCTCGCCTAGGCTGCGAAGGTTGCCCTTGCCGGCGACCTCCACTGGCAACCGCCGGAGGAAAGAGGGAAAAAAAAAGAAAAGAAAAAAAAGGAAAAAAACGGAAAATGGAAAAACGGAAAATAATTCAAAAAAAGGTAAATGACGAAATTGCGCTTCAACCAGTAAGGTCAAGCCCTTATTTGAGATTAATAAGCCACTTAAGACCCTTATTTGAGACAATATTTACTTCAAGTCCTTATTTGAGAAAATGATAGAACTTCATACCCTCATTTGAGATAAAGTCTTCAGGCCCTTATTCGTGAAAACGAAAGCACTTTAGGCTTTATTGGAATTTTTCCTTAGTCATCTCACTAGTGCTAAAATTTATGAGCAATAGACAAATGGCAAATTGCATTTGGTTCAGAGAGAAATGCGAAATTTCGAAATGATTTAGAAAGGATGATCTGATGGAGTATCTTCTTTTAGATTTGGAAAAAGATAACCATAATCAAATATGGTATTAATTGTCAAGAACGAAATTATTAGAAATTGATTAAATTTATCCGGGCAATGAAGTCTTGGTGTTGCACTTCGGGTGTTTATAATCTATGTGCCATACTTTTATGAATGCTTGATTCATTAGTATTTTCAATTTTGTATGCTCCATTCCTCTATTATTTAAGTCTCTTTTCCCTTAACATATTTGTATAGAAGTCTACTTTTACCGATTTTTACCACCTCAATTTCTGGCAACATTGGAAAAAGGGGATTTTAGTCGATTTAGAATTTGTCACCATAAATCTTTTGGTAATTTTAGTGTTTTTGTCTACAATGAGCTTCAGCACAAGTCAATTCCCCTTAACTAAAGGAGACTGATGAGATTGTGTTTGTGTTTGCCCTTTACGGAAAAAAAAAATTACAGTTTTGAAAAAGGGATTGGTTTTAACTTAGGTGCTTTTGTCAATCTAATATAAAAAGGGGTGGAATAAGCTATTTTGGGTGGGGAAATAGCGTCACCCTTAAAAATATCCGAGTTAAAAATATTTATAAAGTAAGTAATTAAGCATAATTGAGAAAGAAAAATATGATGGAGTTATATAGATTATTTTCCTTCGATTTTTTTTTTGATGTTTTCACCCTTTAGAATCCTATACAAACGGATTGCAAAATAAATAAATAAAAATTATCGGTTACACCCGATAAGTGTGAGGCTGATTTGCACAAACCGTGGGATTAAGAGGGCCTTTAGATGCAAAGGATTTGACCAAATCTGCGAATAGGGCTTAATTGAACCAAGTGCTGCACTTTCGAAACATATCCACTGTCCATAGGATTGTAGGCAATCACCGTTAAACATGGCACCAAACTAATTATAAAATCTAGCTATAACAAGATATGGTGCACTTAATTTGTCTATTCAGATGAGTTAAGTAGGTTTTCGTTGCAAGCCAATTAATTAGTTGGTTAAGAAAAATTAGAAAAAGAGTACGCGCGTCGCATGTGAAGATAAATAGTGGACAAACAAATTATTGAACCATCTTTACATATTTACCTTTTTAATATAATTTCAATTACTGTAAAAGTAAAGATGAGTAATTATCGTAAATCACAATTCTGTCCATCTATAGCAATGTATGGTCATTGTGTATTTTAAATATATCTGCAAGAAGACTGCGGTCAATAGGAAACAAAATACAAGAATATCAATATTAGGAGATCAACTTATCATACACTAAATTGATTAGCAAGAACTTATATCCTACTGGCTGTTTTCGGTCTTCATACATTCGAATCAATACGAGCACCCTCTCTAAGAGACCAACTCTCCAACTTGTGGCTCGACAAAACAACTCGAAACACCCCCCGCAGTTAACAGATCCTCTAAACTTGACCCCATCAGGCGACGTCACTTGAAGGATTTTCCCACTAGCTGTGCCGCTGCAGGACTCATCGAATGAGAACATCCGGATTTGTATCTTCTCTTAGGAATCGTATTTTCACTGTCCTTCCACCATTAATTACTGCTAAGATAAGCATTCATGTGTCGGCGTTGAATCTTCAACATCTCCTAGTCTAATCTGCTTCCCATGATCATCAATTCTGACCAAGTGCTCGGGTACATCGAGTTGAAAGTGATGCCGCAACTGTCTCAAAACACCTTGAACAACTACTTTGATCAGTTCTCCATCAGACCTGTCAAACAACATAAGAAATAAGGATATTCAAGGATGTACAACGACAACTCTATTTCGGCTGACGCACGGAGATCTTGTGAAAGAAAGTAGACGAGGCATACGTTGAAGTGAGTTTGTACCCTTTATAATGATGGTGTAATCCTTTAAGGTTGCAGACATCTTCGAGCACTCTCAGACCTTCCATAATGGCATCCCCGCCACGAAGACCCTTCTCACGTGAATAGTAGACATTCCTGAAACTCCCCAAATTCCCCTTTTGGCGTCGCACGTCGGAGGGATCCACTTTGTAGTAAATGGGCAAGACTATGTGTCCCATGCTCTCCTGGCATTCCATCATTTTCGTGAGCTCGTGAAGGCACCATTTGCTGGAAGCATAATTTTGGGAGAGGACCGCAATATAGATTGTAGACCGTGTGATCGCGCTGAGAAGCTGTGAGCGGAACTCCTCACCGATGGGAAGGTCGATGTCGTCTTTGAAAACAGAAACTCCGGCATCCACGAGGTTGGTATAGAGGTGATAGGTGAAACCCTCGCGCGTATCGGCGCCTCTAAAGTTCAAGAATACGTTGTACCGGGCAATCCGAGGACCCTTCGGTATATTTGGCTGTAAGCATCTAATAACAGTTTGGACCACTATCGTCACTAGTTCTTCTTCGGACCTATCAAACACCTCAATCCACGGAAAAGGATGGCAATTAGGGCATGAGATCAGGATGGAATAATATGAAAGGAGGAGAAATTAGTGAAACAACCACCGAAGAAAAGATTGGATGGACGCTTTCGTTTATTTGAATAAGAAGAATGAATAAACGCTGTAGTTAGTAGAGGCCATTAAAAAGGAAAAGAAGAGATTCAAATGAATACACCCAATCCGTCTCGATATTTTCTTTACTTTTTTCTGTCTCTTTCCTTCAATCCAAACAAGAGAGCACCTTTGAAACCCTTTCTCTTCCCTCTCAATCTCCTCTAACAAGTATGATCAAAGAGGAAAGAGAAACAAAATCGTAGAATAAAAAAATTAGTTGAATGGAGGCTAAAAAACATTAGGAGCCCTAGTCTCAATTCCCCAAACCATTCCCAATTTATGGTTCGTTTGTTTCACGAAAAATGTACCAAATCTGGAAAATATTTTTCAAGAAAATGACTTTATTTTCCTATGTATGGCTGAAACCTGAAAAAGACCTAGAAAGTAATTTTCGTCGTTTGGTGAGGAAAATATGATAGGGAATATTATAAAAAAAGTATTTTTTAATTATTTTTATTTTTATACATTTTTTCTTTTCTTTTTCGTTTTCTTTTTCGTTTTCTTTTTACTTCTTCTTTGGTCGGTCGCCGAAGACGGGCAAGCTCGAGCCTCGCCGCAAGCTCACTCGATCTAGCAAGGCTCGAGCCTTATTGCCAGAGGCACCGAGCTCACTCGATCTGAGCCTTGCCGCCAAAGGCTGCTAGCTCGCCGGCTGTGGAAGAAGCAAAAAGAAAAGGAAGAAAAAAAAAAAAAAGAAGAGAAAGAAAGAAAAGAAAAGAAAAGAAAATTCAATTTTTTAAAAATAAAAACAATTAAAAATTCGATTTTAAAAAAAATATATTTTATAAAAACAAACGTTTCATTAACCAATAACCCAAGCCTAAGCGCTGAGAACCCGCGTACGACCTTTGTGGACCCCAGCGTGACGGTTGGGATTAGAGCTCAAGTGTCAGGGACCCGAGTTTGGGTATCAATGCATCGGGTTCGGGCTTGGCCTCAATGGACCCAGGCCTGACTGCCGGAGACCTGGTCCTGAGCGTCGGGACTCGAGAACCAACGTTGGGATTTCCATGCCTAAGCGTAGAGTTTCATATCCAAGTACCGATGCCTAGTCATATTTTGAAAAACGTTTTTCGATTATTTCAAAAAGGAAATCATTTTCCTAAATTTAAGTTTTGGTAGGAAATTTTTTTCCATTTAACTCATTTTCCCAAACGAATCAAACACCGAAAAATGAGAAAAATATTTTTTGGGAAAATATTTTCTGCGAGAGAAACGGACTCTTAATTTTAAGTTGGAGAGAGAAATATCAATATATGCTTCCAACTTCATTCTTTATATCGCCAGCCAAGCAATGCAACTCAACCATTATTGAGGAAAGAAGTAGATAAGATTTGTGTGGACATGAGGTTGGTACCCGTCAGTGACCTTCCTCCATCCATGTAATAAGCTCACGTCTTTAAGTGCTCTCAGCTCTTCCTTGATGTCCTCTGCGCCTCGCGAATGGAAGGACTTTCCAAAACTCCCTCTCAGGTTTCGCACGTCCGAAGGCTTCACTCCGTTGAAAATAGGAAAGACCTTCTGTCTTGCACTTTTCTTACCCTCCATCATCTGGACGAGCCCACGGAGGCACCGTTCGCTGGACGGGTAGTCCTCGGAGAGGATCGGGATGCAGATCTTGGACCGCCGGGCGTCCTCGTCGGGAAGTCGCGATGATGAGCCGATCGCCTGCCTTTCGTCAGGTCCGCATACGGAGACTCCGGCAGCAGTGAGGCTGGCATGGAGGTGACCGCTGAAGGAATCATGAGCGGCATCGGAGCCACTTGTAAAGCTCAAAAACACGTCGTACCGCGTCGAGCCGCTTCCAACAGGACCGGCACGAGAAACACGTAAAGCCAGAGCATCGTCCATTGGTTTCTTCTTTACTCTGATCGATTTTGCCCCCTCTTCTCTATCCATTGCTTACAACGGGACCGGCCACTTTTGACCTCGAGACCTCTGCCTTGATAATACGTTTCAATCTTAAAACTATTCATTTCGTCCATTTATCGGGGAAATTATCCAAAAAGTCATAAACTTATTATATTTTTGCCAATTCAGTCATAAACCTTTTAATTTTACCAATTCAATCTTAAACCTTTCAATTATTACCAATTCAGCTCATTCGGCCAATTTTGGCTGGTCAGAGCTGACGTGAATGCTGATCAGTGCTGGCCATCCGACCAATGCTGGCGTGGTAATTTTTATTAATATCTTAATATTGTTTGAATTTTTTATTATTTTTTTCTTTTTATGGCCTTCTTTCCTTTGGTCGACAAGGTCGTCCTTGCCCCCACCAGCCACTGGCGAGGGTGAGCCTCACAGGTCCCTAGGTGGGCGAGGGGATGATGCAAGGGAGACAGGTCGATCTCGCCGCCGCTAGGTTCTCCCTCACCCAGACATGGCGAGGCCGACCTCGTCGTCGCTAGGTCTCCCTTGCCCAACGATGGCGAGGTCGGCCCTGCCTTGGCTGGGTGAGGGAGAACCCAATGGCGGCGAGGTTGGCCTCACCCAGCCATGGCGAGGTCAGGGGCAGGCAAGGCTTGCCCTTGCTAGTGGTTGGCAGGGGTGAGCTTCGCCAAAGGCCGGCAAGGTCGGGAAGAAGGCCAAAAAAATTCGAAAAAAATTATTAAAATATTAATAAAAATTGCCACGTCATCGTTGGTCGGATAGCCGATGCCGGTTGGCGTCCAAGTTAGCTCTGGCCAGCTAAAATTGATCGAATGGACTAAATTGGCAAAAATTCAAAAGGTTTAAAGTTGAATTGGCAAAAATATAATAGGTTTAAAACTTTTTGAATAATTTTTCTGCAATTTATCTAATACCTTGTCTCACAAGTTAGTGTCGCAATCACTATCTAAGGTTAGGTTGCCCGATTGCCCCAATCAGTCTACCATTTTGACTAGAAACTTGCCGACCTGATATAGCCGGAAGAGTATGACATAGACTAGAAAAGGAGTGAATTGAACTTATTGTCTCTGTAGACTGCCGTGGACGACGTATCCAAAGAAACCGCGTCAGATTTTGACCAGATCATTTAACAAAGAACAACCAAAGGCAACGCGCATCACTTGTAAATGGATAAAAGTTCAGTGCATTCTGTTTCTGTGTGGACGACCCAAAATGCAATTCACTTCAGAATAAAATGGCCATGCAGCATGCAGCATTGAAAGTTAACCCTTTACATGAAGATAGTAGTTAATAGTTACAATACTAAGCCAGGGATCGCTGTACAATTGCGTGTGTTTTTCCAGTTTATGCTTCGAGGAAAATCCCCTAGCTGAACCGCTAAAGGACTCATCGCATGACAAGTTAGGCGTTGAATCTTCAGCATCTCATAACCAAATCTACCCCCCACAAATCAGCAATTCCAACCAAGTGCGCGGATACATCTAGTTGAAAGTGATGCCGCAACTCTCTCAAAACAGCTCGAACAACTGCTCTGATCAGTTCTCCATGAGAGCTAGAACTGTCAAACAGCAGAAGAAATAAAGGATATTTAAGGATGTACGACGACGACTCTATTTTGGTTGTCGTGCGAAGATCTTGCGAAAGAAGTTAAACAGGGCATATGTTGAAGTGAGTCGGTACCTGAGTTTAACAACTTCTCATCCTCCCAATTTGGAGACATCTTTGAGCGCTCGCAGGCCTTCCCTAGTGGCACCCATGAGACAAAGACGCTTCTCACATGAATGGAAAACATCCCCGAAATTCCCTTTTGGGTCTCGCAAATCGGTGTCCACTGCGTAGAAAATGGGCAAGACTACGTGTCCCCAATGCTGTCCCTTTTTTTTTTGCCCCCCATGCTGCCCTTGCACTCCACTTTTGCGAGCTTGCGAAGACACCACTTGCTAGAAGCATAAGTTGGAAAGAGGATCGTAATGTAGATTGTAGACCGTGTGATCACTCATCTCCAATGGAAGGTCAGTGTTGTCTTTGAAAACAGAAACTCCGGCAGCCACGAGGCCGTCGTAGAGGTAATAGGCGATGCCCTGGCGAGTATCGGCGCCTCTAAAGTTCAAGAATACGATATATCTGAGAAAGTTCCTGTAAATTTGACTGTAAGCATCTCAAATAGTTCGGACAACTGTCTTCACTAGTTCTTCTTCGCGCCTGTCAGACACCACAATCCTTGAAAAGGACGGAAAATTAGGGTATGGATGGAATGACTTGAAAGGAAGAGAAATCGATGAACCAATCACCGGAGAAAAGACCTAGCAATGCGTCTCAAACATTGTTGAGGATAGAAAGTAGATTAGATTTGGGTGGAGATGAGGTTGGTGTTTACCCAGTCCACTGCTAGCTATTCCAGCTCGCGTTAGAATGAAACATTATCTCTAATTTGCACAAGAATCGGAGCACAATCAAAATATACGTGATAAGCAATTCAAGATTGATTTAAACGTTCTCTCCAGTTCGCACCAGAATCAGAGCACAATCATAATTTCCATCTGAGTGTATGTGTGTGTATACAAGTCACCACCGATTGTAAAACACACAAATCAGAAATTGAATTTTTTGCATCCTTATTTCTATCTTGGTATTAGAGCAAAAAAAGGCAAAAGCCCAACGATCCAAATATGAGAAACTCAAATTCCTTTTCTTCCGAACAAACTAAGATCAACAACACTAGCCTCCCCCTACAAAAATCACCACACCAAAATCATGGTAAAAGTAAAGATAAGTAATTTATGAAAAACACGAAAGGGAAAATGCTTGCATAATCGTACCGATAGCTTGGAAAATGACAGTCAACCCTCAGCCTCACATTTTCCATGACAGAGAAACTTGTGTTTTGCTTGGAAATTTCCAAGCGCTTGTATTGGAAAAAGGAAACTTTTGTGGCTGGAGTTTGACCTTCATACGGTCAAACGGTCCTGCTAGCAGCTCTCTACATGAAAGATATTTTGAATTTAAATCTAGAAAGGAAGAGATTCGTTGGTTACTTGTCAATCATCTCGATTGTTATATGAATTACAACTTTGTTCGTCTATGATCCTGTATTGTCATAGAATACTTTAAATATATGCACGCGTTTTTCATGAACATTTTTTATCATGAAAGCTTAAGGTTAAGGTGGTCATTGGATTTGCTTAATTTATAGTATTGATCCAGTGCTGCTAGTAATTAAATTCATTCATTAATCATGTCAATGGAATTATCAAATACATGTTGCATATTCCTCGCCTTTATCAAGATTTCAGAGGGGAAAATCTTGGAAGCTTAAGGAAAGCATAATAAGGAGGCATTGCCAGATTGGTGTGAAGAAAACTACTTTAGTTCTGTGATGTTTCCAAAGAACGCGAACTGATTATTGTAGAGTTAATCTCTGAAAGAAGATCTACAGTCATAATAAAAAAAACACAAGAATATCAAAATCACGACATGAACTTAGCGTACACATAATTGATTAGCAAGAAGTTATAAACTACTGGCTATTACCAGTCTCCATACATTCGAATCAGTACGAGCACACTGTCCTAGAGACCAGCTCTCCAACTTTTGGCTCGACAAAACAACTCAAAACCACACCCCACATTTACAGATCCTCCAAACTTGACTCCATCGGGCGATGTCACTCGAAGATTATGCCACTAGCTAACCCGCTAGCGGACAAAAATCGTCAACATCTAATGAGAATTCACGCGTAGACGTCAAATCTTCAAACATCTCATGATCCTAATTCCTAATCGGGTTCTCGGGTACATCTGGTTGAAAGTGATGCCGCAACTCTCTCAAAAAAATAAAAAAGGAAAGAACAAAGTTCACACGTAGGGGAAAATTGGAAATTACGTGGTGATTTCCATCTACCATTTCAATCGGTCTGTATCACTTCGATAGTCAAACTTACAAATTTTTTCCCTGTTCGATTAGGTTAATCGATTTTTGTCCATCAGCGGTGGAGGGAAAAATGTGAATACTTAGGTTCCGTTTATTTTGCGAAAAATAAATAATTTTAAAAATATATTTTTAAAAATGATTATTCGTATCGCTTACAAAAATATATAAATAAATAATATTTTCATTGTTCATCAAAATATTTAAATATAAATTGTTGTTGATAATGAAAATATTTTCAATTGACTAGTTATTTTGGACAATACAAAAATTATTTATTTTCCGCGAAACAAACGGAACATTAAATATTGATGCCGGTGACTAGTCAAGTAAAAGAACAATAAAACACAAAAATCATCCATTTCTATATATATATATATATATTTTTTTTTCTATGGGTCATCCATTTCTATTATTGGATTATTATAAGTCCACCCTTCTTATCTTTTTCTTTTTATCTCACACCCTTTTCTTGATTAAGGTGACAACAGCCTTCTTGTTTTTTGTATTTCTAATTTTGGCCAATAACCAGGTCTCTTCAACTTCCTGAGAAATTGAATGGTAATTAGTTAAGGCCTTAACTACACTATCTAGTTCCATCCATCCCTATCTCCTTTTTTTTCCTCGCGTTTGCGTCATTCTTAAGGTTTTAAATCGTTGGATCGCTAGTACTAAATTTCAACCGTTGATTCTCAACTATTTCGGCAAACAAATTGGTGTTTCTTTTTCCATCTTTACCTCACCTTTTTTGTTTCTCATATCTCTTTACCTTATTCGTCTCTCATCATTCTTGCTCTGTTTTGCTTTTTCTTCTCTCGGTACCACCATCCTTCCACCGATCATTGTTTTGTCCGATCGTTTCTGGCTGTTCCTTTCTTGGTGCTGCCGTTGCTCCTTGTTATTGCATGGGATGTCTTCAAGTACATAGTTGTTCCAATCAAGGGTCAATTTGGATGCGTGATGTCCTCCAAGAGCTATGCCTAGGATCATCATAAGGAAGTTGGGAAGCTGGCGTACGACGCTGAAATGGCCCACAATGCCGCAGAAGTGGCCAGAAACGATCATCTGAGTGTCCACAGTCAGGTCACGGAATGGCAGCAAAGTTCTACAGGAACAAAACATCCGCCTTTCTACTCCTCCTTGGTTGCCTTGGCCCGGTAGGAACTGACCATTTGCCATTTCGATTAGGCAGTCACATTCGTAATTCCTTCTTTAAGATATTCATATGGATGTTAGACTCGGCCCGATCTAATCACCCATCGACTATAATATCATTTGTTGGAACGCACGGCATAAACTCTATATCATCGTTCGAAAATGATCACAAGAGATAGCCCAAAGCCGATCAATATATTCAGTTGAAGTAACTTTCGTTGAGAACTTTAAGCCAATGAGATATGGTCAAATTTGGATATATTAATTGCTTCATCTTATAATACATTTCCAATGACCTTTTTTCTTCTTTTGCTTATCCCCATCACACGTGCATCTCAATGAAAACTAATGTGGTGAATTAAAAGTGAAGGTAATTACTATGAATTATTAAAGCACAAGGACACGAAAAAGTAGCACATCAGTTTTCTAAATAGTTAAAAAATAGCTATGCAGTTTCTTTAGATGTAGCAATTATTTTGATACAACTTATATAGAAAACCTATTTATCATTCGATTTGATGTATTATGTGAATGAGTCATTTCATCCGATTTAATTAATTTACTTGTGATATTACTATTACACCGAACTATAGTTGATAGGGCAAAATAGCATTCTCTTTCAACATATTGCTACGCAAATCTAGAATAGATAAAATGAATAACAAGTGTCAGTATTTGAAGTTTTTTTACGAGAAAAGAATGAAGTTTAAAGGGAGAGTAATGGTGAGATGACATGGGACACCTCTTGGCAATGCGTCCTCTTTTTCTTTTTTTCTTTTTGACAACACGGGGGCATGACGTGGAGATCCGGCTATCTGGGAACCCATGGAATATCCTTAATGTCTCATGAACCGGTTAAGTTCAGACTTTTGGCTTGTACCTGTGCACATCTCTTTCTCTATTTATTTTTCAGTGACAACTTATGGTTAATGCAATTTAAAAATGCTTTTTTGATAATCAAAAGAACAGATATGGTAATATTCGAACCTCCACTTGTACACAAAGTTGTTTTTTTTTCCCTACAATCCAATAACATTTTTAAGGGATGATTACGCAAATGGTCATTGAACTTTACCCCAATGTGCAACGTGATTCCTGAACTTTTAATTTGTTCGATGCGGTCCTTAAAATTTTAGTAAATGTTCAATCTAGTCCCTGAAATATTATATCCTTGAATTCAATTCTTATCCCCGAATTAACTAGTTTATGGATTAAATTGAATATGTAACAAAAGTTCAATGATCATATTGAACAAATTAAAAGTCCAAGGACAACATTGCATATTGATACAAAGTTTATGGACTATTTGTGTCATTTTCCCCATTTTTAATGGTGTTAATACTAATTAAGCATCATGAGGCCAAAGTAACTAGGAAACTTAAATTTCACAACTAAGTTAAGACAAAGTGCACAGTTGAAGAACAATTATTAGATTTAGTGAGCAAAGCTAATAGCTACATAAATATTAGTGATAGTTATTCAGTTTGTTTCAATTTTTTTCTTAATCGCTATAAAATTAATAGGGTATGCTGATAAGGACGTATAAAATCAAGATAAGGTAAAAAGTATCAAAAGGACTTCAAAAACTTGTTTAAGAATAATGTTATAGGTTTAAAACAATTAGAGATCTGATTTGTTTGCATGGTTAAGCCCACTACACAAAATAAGGCTTAGGATCGCATCTTATCTGGTCATGAGGTTATCAAACTATTTTATGGACTCGGGATTGGCCTGTCTAAGGTGTGGTCTCTCGTCATAGAAAAACACTATTTTTTCTAGCATGTTCAAATGTATATCTTATCCCTCTTTCTAGAAATTATAAAAGACACGAGCATATCACGTATTTGTCTAAAAAAAGAAACAAAAGTTCTAAATATAGGGAGAAAGAGAGAAAATATTTGAAGATGCGAGTTAGTTTAAGATAAAAATTCAAAGAGTTGTAAGATGAAAAATTTATAACTATTTTTTGAAAGTAAGGTATTTACAAAATTAATTGGCAATTATCTCAAAGAAATAAAGACACAGATGGTCCATAAGCTTTCATCCAATGTGCAATATGGTCCCTGAATTTTTTATTTATTCAATGTGGTCCCTGAACTTTAGCTCAATGTACAATGTGATTTCCGAACTTTTAATATGTTTAATGTGGTCCGTAGATTTTCGGTACATGTTCAATATAATTCCTGAACTATATGAGAATTTTCAATATTGCCCTTCCATTAATTCAGATTCAAGTACAATTATAAACATTTTCATATAATTCATAGATTAAATTGAACATGTACCAAAATTTCAATAACCACATTGAATAAATTAAAAGTTTAGTGACCGTATTACACATTCAGCTATAATTCAAGGACTGTATTGAATAAATTAAAAATTCAAAAATCACATTGCATATAGGGCCAAAATTCAATGACCATTTATGGCATTTTCCCTATCTTAAACTATTCAAATTACAAATTTAAACAACACAACGCAAGTACAATGGATGCAAACATGGCCACGTAAAACACAACATGAAACCAAAAGTGATGCGCGTATGTTAAACATGTCCCTCAAATCGGTAATTTCGGTCTTGGCGATACTTTTGGTCCTCTGCATATAATTTAGGATTAATACCACGAAAAATTTTAAACTGGTATACCCGCGACAAATTTACTCTAAACTAATTTTTTGATCACCAAAAACCCCGAATGGGTATACTTGCGACAAATTTACCCTTTGTTCGTTTCTGTTAAATTTTACCGTCAAATTGATAAGTTGGATGATACGTGGCAGTCGACGGGTATATCGGTTTGGGATTTTACCCTTTGTTTGTCATAAATGTATGAGTTTGTAGTTTTTCTTGGTATTAATCCAATTTAATCGAAATTAACGGAAAGTAAACTTGTCACGTGTACCAATTTGAGGTTTTTTTGTAATCAAAAAATTAGTTTGAGGTCACAGGTATACCGGTTTGGGGTTTTTGGTGATAAAAAAATTAATTTGTGGTAAATTTGTCATATATGTACCAGTTTGGGGTTTTTCGTGATATTAATCCTATAATTTATCACTTAATAATAAAATAAAAATGAAATAAAAAAAGGTACCGAACACGACACATGCTTTAATGGCCGGAGAAGTGAAGAAAGAAGACTAACCCACGAAACGTCAAGAAACATCGTGCTATTGGGCTGGTGGTGGCGCTCGCAACGAAATGAGAAGGAGATCGTGAGGGAGAGATCAAAGTGGCGTACCAAATCTATGAAGCGGATTGCGTCCTTAAAATCGCTAGGGAAGGTAGATTAATTGAGGTACACGAAAATTTACCAAATTTTTGTTATGAAATAAGGCAAGGCATGAAGCCAAATCACTATGAAGAAGTTTTGAGAATTACGAAGGAAATTTCGAGCTTATGTTACGTTACTGAACTCCTGAATTATAAAATAAAGATTATAATTTTTTTATTTTATTAGACCATGTTATTACAATATACCTTAGCATGGGCATGTCATGAATTTTAATAAAAGTTTGATATTGAAATCGCGAATAGATGTAACCTTTTTTTCTTTGGCATATGTTTTTTTTTTTTGGGTCTTGGCATTTTAGGTGGCATTTATCATCTGGGTAGATTTTGTACTGCTTATATTTGAATTTTGGAAATTTGAGCAATTAAAAAAATTATTGACAATAACAATGAACATTAGTTTTGTTCCTTCAAGGTGAGAATCAATTGAAATGGCGAAACCCAAGAAAAACAAAGTCCTTACATTATCGGTTTCTAATTCCTAAGAGTTGATTTACCCGGACCATATTCGCTTGTAATTGGTGCTACTAGTGAGGTGACAACCTTAATCTCAGATTGACCGACCTCAGCCACAATTGGTCACGGATAATATCCACGACCTCATATGCGAGCTGACGTTGCGATCATATTGTTAACCATCCATGCAAGTATTTTCCTTGCACATTAGCTTATGAAGTGGAAAGTTGATTTGCCGAGTGAACACCCCGTTCACTCGTAATTGGCACTACAAGTGAGGTCACCGATCTCAATCTCAGACTGAGCCACCTCAATCGCAACTGGTCACGGCTAAGATCCACGACCTTAAATGTTAGCCGACGTCGTGATCTTATCGGTAAACACGGTCCATGCAGGTATTTTCCCCGCACATCAGCCGATGAAGCGGAGAATTGGCTCACTAGGGCCCTATTCACTCGTCATGGGTGCTACAAGTGAGGTCACCAACCTCAATCTCAGACCGAGCCACCTCAACCACAGTTGATCACGGCTAAGATCCATATACCGCGATCTTTTATTGTTAAGCACGGTTCATGTATGCATTTTCCCGGCACTTAAAACCGAATATGGTGGAGAATCACACCCTGGTCGCTCGTAACCGGTGCCGCAGGCAAGGCCACCAATCTGAATCTCAGATCGAGCCACCTTAGCCACAGTCTAAGATTCGTGTCATCAAATCCGAACCGAACCAAACCGAGGCCGCGACCGGAGTGACGGAGTGGCTCAGCCCCGGTCCGTGCAAGTACTATCTTCAACCAGACGAAGTCGGACGACACGGATGCGAGCACATCTTCAGGTGGAGCCCACCCCCAACAATAAAAATGAAACTTAGCGGCATCACCATCATTATTACCTCCACCAATTCACCCTCCTCTCACCAGCAGGAGAGCGCTTCTCTCTCTCTCTCTCGCTCTGTGAAATCGGGCGCAGGAGAGAGGGAGCTTTCACGAGCGGACGAGCGAAGCGAAGCATCAGTAGTGGTGCCCCAGTGATCACGGAGCAGAGCTCGAGAGGAGGGAGAGAGATGGACGACTACACGAGGGAGATGATGGACCTCAAAACCCTAGTCACTCGCACCCTCGAGAAGAAGGGCGTCCTCGCGAAGATCCGGGTAAAGTTTCCCGGCCTCTCCTTCCGGTGTCCTCGCTTCTCTAATCTCCCTCGAGAATTCGGGCGGTACGATTGGGGAAATGCGGGGGGGTGGGGGGGTGGGAATTCGAGCTGCTTTGTTCTTGATAGCTCGGTGGAGGCGAAGGGCGACGTTGCTTTGGATCTGGGTGTTTATCCGTATTTCGAAACGGCTTTACCTAGCCCCTTCCCTCCCCCCCACACAAGAAATTGAACGGCTTTTCTCTTTTGGGTTTTGATCGGTTCGCGCATTTTCGTCGGGGAAGTCCAGATTCAATCGCTTCGCTGCGATTTCATATTATTGGGTGTGGCTCATTTTGTCGCTAATCTCTGTCGCGCTTCCTCGGGAAGAGAGAGAGAGAGAGAGACTGATGCTTGTGGTTTGGCACCGGGAAATTGGTCCCGTGTATGCAAATTCTGGCGAAAGTCGCATAAGGAACATCGGGAACTGGGTGGCAGTTTGCTGTACTCGAGGCCGGTTTTTCCTTTATTGGCCTTGGAGCATTTGGTTAACTGCCCATTTACTTCATCACAAATTTTGGGTTTTTTGTCTTCTTGTCTTGTTTATTGCAAATTGTTAGTTGCTCCATCGACAAATATCAGCTGCTCCTGCTTTGGAACGGGCAAAAAGGAGATAATCACATCTTCTTAGCTACAGTAAATTTGCTGTGGAGGTGGTTGTTATGTTTGAAAGTATTGATGAGTGCAATAACACGTCGGATGCATTTCTTGGGCTGTTGCACAAGTTGCTTTTTAACACAACTTTTAGGTGAAATTATTTTGAATGAATTGTGGGCTTATTTATAGTAATTCAGGAATTCAATTAACTCAGCGGAACATGGATACATTGACTGTCCATGAGCATTGATCTTCTTTCAAGCCTGTGGATCTTCATCTTCTTTCATGCCATTTACATTCTATATGTGCTCCTCAGTGTTACTGTTATTCCTTTCGCTACTCTATTTTGCTTGCTAAGTTGAACTCAGGGTTGGCACGATTTAGGCTATCGAATGTGCTTTAGGTGTAACCTTGACAATTTTCTTTGATTGCTAGGCTGAACTGAGGGCAAGTGTTTTTGAGGCAATTGAAGAGGAGGATCAAGTTGTGGAGAAAGAAGGTTTACCTCCTGCTTTGTTAGGTAGCTGCAATGAACGGGCAAAACAACTTCATGCTTCTCCTTCAGGTTATTTTCGGGGCTTTTGGTATGGACGATAGAGATATACTTTCATTTTCTGCAAATCACTCGGCTTTTGGCTGATGGATGGTGATACAGACACCTCAGATATCTTCTTTTGGCTTTTAAGGTTTGTACAATGTAAGTGGCATGTGCTTGTTAATGTGGTGATCTTATTCAACTGTTCCTGGTTTTATTATACAGGGAGGCTGTTAACAGCATTAATTTCTGAATATTTGGACTGGGCGCAACTAAACCACACGTTAAAAGTTTATCTGCCTGAGTGTAATTTGGTAATCAAGTAATTCCAGAGCAGTTTTACCTAATTGCAAGTACCTTTGAATGCTCTGTGCTTCTAGAAGACTGCTGAGTTAAATTGAGATTTTGCGAATTAACCTTGCAGCAAAAGGATTTTTGGAAAGCTGAATTGAAGGAGTTTAGCAGCAAGAATGGATATGATATTAACCGAAATGGAGATAGTGGTCCTTTGCTGTTGGATGTGCTTGAAGGATTTTTAAAATACGAGGTTTGGTGTCTGATCTTTTCCTGATTTATTCTTTTCACTCACAGCTTTGAACTTGTGAGCAAGTTGCATATAGAACATTTTACCATTTACGGTACAATGTGCTTTAGGTTGTTTTAAGAATAGAACTCTTGTCGGATTCTTTTTGTTGTTTCTTATGAAACTTGACTCATCTTTTGACAGAGTTTAACCAAACCAAGGGGTGTGGGAAGGAGAATCACTGCTACAGATGGTGATTCCATGCCATTAGAGTCTCGCGATGTTCGTAGACCTTCGTCATCTGTTGCAGGGGGCTTACCCCCGTTGGGAAGGTGCTGATAAAGCCACATGCTTTGTCCCATTTGTTGGTATCTATGTTTCTCTATTTCTTAGTGCTAATACGACTTTCTGGATTTTCATTTTAGGTCTGCTCCAACTGCCCAGGCATCTGGTGAGTAATGAAACTTCCCATCCATTTAGATCTACTTTGTGGTTTGATTTGGATTTGCTTGCTGATATATGTTTGACTTATAGGTAGGAGAGCTGGCTCCTCAACATCTAATTATAGAAAAGATGAGTATAATTGGAGATATGACAATGACGAGCTCCCTGATGACATTGTCCGAGCATCAGCTGCTCTAGAAAATCTTCAGTTGGACAGGAAAGCTAGGAATCTCACTTCTTCTTGGCGGTATGTTCTCAAAACTTGAGACTTTCCTTTTGTAAAAATTTCCGATGTAATTGTTTCCTTTTAGATTCATAGTGGATATTCACTTCAGTTTTATTGAAATAGATTGTGGGACCATTTTTTGACTTAGGTAGATTCTCATACAATTGTTTGACATGCCCCATAATGTGTCTTGAACATGGGCAAAAAGAGAAGGGAAGAAAACCACTCAACTCGTTGTATCGTAGTGTGATGTGATCTGAGCAAAGATTTCTGTCTCTTTTCCTTGCTTTCAATCTAGGAATAGTTATTTGACACTGAGTCCTTCTATGGTTTGCACGACGTGACATTTAGCAGCCCTACTTTCATACTATACATGGGCGCGCGCTCTTTGGAACGACGGTCTTGATGGAGAAGTTTCTAGATTGTTCATGCTCACAAGGGGGTGAGGGCATGCTTAGTTAGATGTCCAATAGGTGTATTTTTGAAAATTTGATGTTTTTGCTGACCATATGAGAAAATATGCCGAGAGACAGAAGGAGAGCCAGGGTTGAATGGATACAAATGCCATGTAGAGGTGAAATTTGATATTGAGAGTTCCATTGTGTGTTGGAGGCAGGGTTCAGCTCTGAACTCCTGGAATGGTTTAGATTGTTGTTGTGAGATTTGGTGGGACTACAACCAACTGTTCTAAAAGCTTAAGTTGTTAGATGAAGGCGTGTTTTAATATTTAATTACTTTAACACTTCCCTCTTACGCTTAGTTTGGTCTTTTTTTTGCCTATACTTAATCGTGGACATATTTAATTGGGGAGGCAATTGGGGCCTGGAAAGATTTGAACTCAGGACCTCCAGCTCTGATACCATGTGAGATTTGGTGGGACCACAACCAATTATTCTAAAAGCTTAAGCTATTAGATGAATGCGTGCTTTAATATTTAATTATTTTAACAGTTGTTAAAGGAGGAATGTGAGTTTTTTTGCCAAGCAATTACTATCGGTGCACTATCACATACATCTCATGCGAAAAACTACACAACATCGGATGCTCATGATCTTGAAAGTTGAAATTCGATATTGAGAGTTCCATTGTGTGATGGAGGCAGGGTTCAGCTCTGAACTCCTGGATTGGTTTAGATTGTTGTTAGAGGAAAGAATGTGAGTTTTTTTGCCGAGCAATTAATTTCAGCGTACTATCACTTACATCTCATGGGAAAAACTACACAACATTGGACGCTCATGATCTTGATTTACTCTTACATCCTCAGTGGTGTTATCTGTGGCGCACTTGTCTGGCATCGTTTGTATTCACTCAGCAATATGCGAATGTGCCAAGTTCTATCGGGAGATTGGGTCTCCTTTCATGGTTAGAACCATTTTAAATTGGACAGTCTTTTAAGTTAAACTGATACTCATAAGCACAAGAATAGATGAGTTTTACTTTGAGAGGGACATTTCAATGGGGTTTGTTTTGATGGTTGTTCTGGGCTTGCTACAAAGCAGAGCTGTGGCAATGTCTTGTTTTATTGGTTTGCTCAGTCTGAAAAGATTTTAACTGAAATGTTTGCTTGTTCATTGGAACTCTAGCTCTAACAATGGGCTGGGACTTGTCCGATAGGAGAGGCTAGCCTGCTGGGCATCCTTAGCTATTTCACATGATTTACTGGCGTGGTTTTACATAAAAATGTCTGTGAACCTAGTTATTTTCACTAGCAGCAAATTTAGTAGTTAATGGAGACTATAACTTGTAGGTGTAAACTGTAAATTCTAAACGGAAAGTATTTGAACTATAATTAGGCCTATAGTGCGGTTTGTGAAATGCCTTCCGTTTGTTTAAGTTTGGGCGTCTTTCTATTTAATGCAAAAGGCATGTGAGTTCACATGTGACCATCAGGACTCTTAGACCAACCATAATTTTGTCACCTTGTTTCTATTGCGACTTTAAATACTTCAATTTCTAATTGTGTAGGTTGTTTTTCTCTAATACAGTAATATACCCTATTGGAACCTCCTCAGGCAAGCAAAATTGTAATTTCCACTAATATGTTGTGTTATACCTGAAAAGGCGTCAAGATTTATTTTTCCTTTGCTTATGAAAAGAATAATGTTGGATGTTTGCATAACTATAATGAGGTGTTTCGGTATCAATAGTTCTTGGTTGTTTACTAGTTTTTGTGTTTCTCATCAAACAGTCGAGCCTGAGACTATTACAAAATCTCTTTGTGCTCATTCTAGCAGTTCTTCTTGAATTTCATTGCAGGCATGCTGGGGATGGAATCTCTGACGATGATGGGAGGGTGGACCATATGTAGATGGTTGACTTAGTATTCACTCGCTCTGTTGTGTATTTTGGATTGCATTTAACAATGAGTGTTGTCTAAAATTAGGCCGATTTTATATTGTGGTCATGTAAGTTCAGCAATTTAGTTTCAGGTTTCTCACTATATCCTTTCAAATTTGATTATATCTTGAATCTTTCACTCTCAGATCTGATACTATTTGTCATTGACATCTTGCTTGTTTTTACTTTTTAAAATCGTGGGAACGACCTATCCAACATACGAATTGCTACTAAGACCTTGCAAAAGTCAGTATCATGATAGTTTCGAGGCAGAAATGTGAGTTCGGCCAAGACCCATCTGCTGCATAGTTTTGGGATGGATGTGCCTTAGGCCTAGTGAAGGCCTTCAAAATTGGTCCAATGCTTTGCTTCATGTCAGAGAATTTGCCCATGTACTCGCTAGATAAGGTATTGGATTGTTCTTGGTGAAATAGTGGAGTCACGTTAGGGCGGCCAAATGAGTTTCTGCCCATGTATCTATTAGTTTTTCTCGATTGATAAACAGTCACGTATAGCCTTCACTCTTGATTGGTAAATTCATCCAAAAATTTGAGATGAACTTGCTCTTACGTGCGGGTACATTTTGAAAGAAGCCAAGAAAGTTATCCTTGCTCAACCAAGCAACGGGTTAGTTGTCTAAGTGCCTTTTAGAGCGTCTACCCCCCACCCACCTCACCCCCCCTTTTTGGACCCTAGAAGAAATTGTTCTTATTCACTTAAGTAAGTTATAGCTGAATTACAAGCTACAGAGATATCTTCCACAAGTGGGTCAAAAAGTTTGAAAAGACTTGCGTGCCATCAATTTATGCTTATTATATGGTTTTGTTCGTGCGGCCATTGTTGTCTCCTAAGAAATCGGCACTCCAACGAGAAATTGGGAAAAAGGGCGGTCAAACAATTCAAAAGTTGATGGCTTGTAACTATGCAAGTCTTCATGCCAATAATAAAGAAAATAATAAATAAAGCAAAGGCACTTTTTGCCGCGATTTGACCTTTCCATCTGAGCTTTATTTGAATTTTGACATGCCACTGCATGCTCCAAAGTTTTTCCTTTTACTCAAGTGCCATTCCACAGGCTGATCTTTTACTTTCATGGCATGAAAAGGAATTGAGTTTTTGAGTCCTAAGGTGTTGCTTCGATCAATGTGGTGCACAAGGTACAGTTTCTAGCATTTGTGAAGCTGTAAAAGAAATCTCTATTATTTGTGCCTGAACAGTGAATGGGGGAAAATGAGTAATTGAATACTTCTAAGAAAATGACCTAAACATCCTTCATATTGCTAGGCTTCCTTTAGTTCCCCACAACCTAGTACCGAAATCTAAATTTCAAACCGCTCGATTGTTTCGAAATATTTTCAACCTCGATGTCAACAACTTACTAAACACACTACTAGTTGCTCAAGATGGTGTAATTTTATCAAACACCTTTTGAAACAAGATTTGTTTCTTTTGAACCACATCCCTGAACATCCACGGTTGCCTCATGCTTTCATGTAGCCGATCGCTCAAGTTCAACCGGCAATCTAAACCAATGAAAATCATAAAATAATTTGATGATTGTTTGAATTATTCGAGACCCATTCTTCGAGTTGGAGTTTATTTATTTAAAAATGGGATTTTTTTTTTGTTAAACAAGGTACATACTCCTCAAGAAGCATGTTTAGTCCCAACCACGGTTATTCTTTTGGACCAACCTCAAGAGACTTGTCGCTTGGATTGGATTGTAATAAGATGGACTGCGCGATGACCCAATTGAAGGTCAAGCATGAAATACAATGAAACTTTGGGGGTGAAATTATAATTTCATTCGAACACGGGGGCCTAAATGCAAGGAAGAACAAAAACAAAACAAGAACCAAAAGATTGCTCGACAGTCTATCTCCGTCTCTGTCTCTCTCCCCACCTCCCCTGCATGTCCGAACCCAAGTTCTCTCTCTCTCTCTGATGAGTCAATTGAACGTCAAGCATGCAATACAATGAAACTTTGGGGGTGGAATTATAATTTCATACGAACAGGGGGGCCTAAATGCAAGGAAGAACAAAAACAAAACAAGAAACAAAAGATTTCTCGACGGTCTGTCTCTGTCTGTCTCTCTCTCTCTCTCCACCACCCCTGCCTGTCCGAATCCAAGTGTTCTCTCTCTCTCTCTGAGTGCGAGGTAAGCGTTTTTTCACGGGAGAACATGGGTTGGTGTTCCTGCTCTGGGAAATCCAAGAAACCCACAAAGAAGAAGCAGAGCAGCACTGCTTCGGACTATCAGATCCAATCAACTTCAGGTGCTCTCTTCCCCACAATGGGGAGCTCAATTTACGTTACTGAACACTCCTCGAGTGTCCCCGTTTGTCGTCTTCGCTTCTCGCCCGAAATTCAAGTCCCCATTTTGACGTGCTTGTTGAACAGTGCGTGATGATCGACATCACTGTGACTTGAGTTTCGCTCCTGCGAGTTACGAAAAGTGCCCATTATGTTGGTCATCGTTACTTTCTGGGGGAGATCGTCAGGCTTCTTGATCTGTTCTGATTTGGTAGTGATAATTGGATGGGATTGTGTGATCGTAATGTGTGTTTCTGTTGTGCTTGGGCTCTTGGTGGATGTTTTTCTTCAAAATTTAATTGCTTGACGTTCAAATTCTGAGCTGAGGGTACTGTGGTGGAGTATTAGTCTCTTGCAGAAGTTTGATGCCGGAAAATTGTACACTCTGCGTTTCGTTGGGTTGAAGGGAAGATCTTGGTTCTGTTGGATTACTTTGAGTGCTCAGTGGTTTTATTTGTTGATATTTGCACATAGTTTGACCAGCATTTTTATTGTTTCGAGGGGAAACATATGGTAGTTGATTTGGTAATGGACTTATTTTGGCTGTTTCAATTTGAAGTAATGTGGGAACTATTTCGATTGGTCTTGTGTGCGAGTTCTTATGATAAGTAGACCGAGAGGTAATTTGTCCTGTTAGGCTCTCCATGTTGACTGGCATTTAAATGCAGTGTCATTGAGAAGAATCCAATTGAACATATCATACTCATCATGGATAGACTACTTACTCGACTATAATTGTCCTAATTTTTGTAAATCATATGGGGTTTACTTTGTCTCTCTCTTCCCATCTCTTTTGAGCTCTGGGAAAGGCCATTTGTGTCTTTTATGTTGCAAAGTGCATCTTATGTCATACGGAATATTATCAGTCTGTATCAGTATGTAAGTAGTGTCAAGCATTATACATTGATCTTCTTATCCTGTATCAGACAAACTGAAGGTAAAGCCGGCCTTCAATGTAAGTAATGAGGGGGATAAGGATGGAGGGTCTGATCACATTGCTGCGCACACTTTCACATTTCGTGAACTGGCTTCTGCAACGAAGAACTTCAGGTCAGACTGCCTTTTGGGAGAAGGTGGTTTTGGCAGAGTGTATAAAGGGCGTTTGGAGAGTACAAATCAGGTATGCTAAATATTCCAATACCCGGTTAAAATGCATGCCAAAGTGTTTCTTTTTCTTTTTTCTTTTCAATCCTCATCTCCACTTCATGAATCTAGCTCCGAAGATAAAATGAAAATTTTGTCAATAGTAACAATATGTTGGTCAGCTGGTATAGCTTAAAAGTGGACCTACTTATAGTGAGATATAGGGTGGAGATGGTATGTTACAGTAATGAACAGAATGTTGTTAATTTAGATCTTGGATGCTAAATCATGTTGTAATAAAGAAGATTCTTCACCGTGCTTTTCTTGAGTTCCATGGTGGAATTTATATATTTTAATTTGATGCACCTATGGTTAAGATTGAGCCTTTTCTTCTGTTTGTAGGTTGTTGCTATTAAGCAACTTGATCGCAATGGGCTGCAAGGGAACAGGGAATTTCTGGTCGAAGTCTTGATGCTAAGCCTACTTCACCATCCTAATCTTGTAAATTTAATTGGTTATTGTGCTGATGGCGACCAAAGGCTATTAGTTTATGAATATATGCCATTGGGTTCTTTGGAAGATCATTTGCATGGTAAATTCATTGGAACTTGAACTTCACTGTGTCCTGTGTTAAAACTAGTATTAAGGACTCAAAAGTTGCTCAGCTACTTGTGCTACTAGGTTTATATTACATCATTCGAGAAGCCTGCGATGCCAAAGAGAAGATCAAATGATTGAGTCACCTTTTTAATTGTTTAGTGAATTTTCCTATGAATTTCTAGCTATTTCTTTAGATGCCCTTAAGTTCCTTTTCCCCCATTTTCAACTTGTGAAAATTATGAACTTTCATCCTTTTGTGTTTGCAATCACCTCAAACCAAAAAACAAAAAACTAGCTGTAGACAATGATGTCATCTTTCTGTATATTTCATTATTTCTGATGCTCATACAATATCCTGGTTGTGTTAACTTATATCAAATGCTTAAATTCTTTTGTGCAAGCTACCATTCAGTGGTTACACCTGCGATGATTGCGATGCAATTGACCGACTTTGTCCCAATCCTTCTTTTCAGACCTACCGCCAGATAGAAAGCGACTTGACTGGAATACAAGAATGAGAATAGCTGCAGGCGCTGCGAAGGGTTTGGAGTATTTGCATGATAAAGCCAATCCCCCAGTCATATATCGTGATTTAAAATGCTCGAATATCCTACTTGGTGAAGGCTATCACCCCAAATTATCTGATTTTGGTTTGGCCAAATTGGGTCCTGTTGGGGACAAGACACATGTATCTACCAGAGTAATGGGAACCTATGGGTACTGTGCACCTGAATATGCAATGACAGGGCAGCTTACTTTAAAATCAGATGTTTATAGCTTTGGAGTGGTCCTTCTGGAAATTATCACCGGTAGAAAAGCAATTGATAACTCAAAAGCTGCCGGGGACCATAATTTGGTTGCATGGGTAAGATCCCTTGGCATTCCTCTGCTTACCTATTCTTTTGGCATCTTAGTTGAGATCTCTTGCATATTCATGTAGGATGGTGCAAAGTACCCTAAATGGTTTTTTGTTTTAAACTATTCATTGTTGCATCACTTGCTAAACTTATCTGCAGTTGCAGGAAAACGCATCAGTGCAAGAGCTGTTGGCAGCTACATATTTTGTTGTTTTCTACATTTACTTAATCTGTCCACATGGTCTGGCACCGCTGAATTAAATTGAATATAAGTCAAGATGGAAGGATGGGATACAAATTGGCGGATCCCCGCTACCTGGAAAAGAGGTCATCATGAGATTAGTGTTTCAGATTGATTTTTTGTATGATATGTGAAAATAAAATGATTATATCTCAGACATAGGAGTTCTAGGGGAAGCTGGTGGGCTTTAGGGTAAATTTTAAACCAAAACTTAAGAACATCTTAATGACATCAAGATGAGCATGCAAAGACTTGAAAGAGGCTGGTCGGCAGGTGAAGTCCTAGGCACAAGGAGGGTGCAGCTGATGCAGTAAACAAATGATTTTGGGATGAACAATCTCCATGAACAAATAAAATTAGCCATCTTTTTCCCCTTTAGTGGCGGCATACTCTCTGGACGCTCCAATTTTCAGTAGCTTATTGTTAGGGTCTTTTTTCTCTTTTATTTGGTTTTGGTGAACGAAAATATAAACTCTCTGCGTCTGGGAGTTCTCACTTCTTACAATTTCAGGATGAGTTGCCTTGTTGAACATAGAAGGTTGTTGTGCTCTCTGGGATAATGCAACTCTGGTTTTGTGCTAAAAAAAGGGAACACCATAAACATGGCACTTAAAACTTAAATTGAAGGAGTATTCATCTGTGATTGTATTAAGGTGCCTTCAAAATTAATTATGATCTGAAACTGTGTTCATTGATGTTAGTCGGTGAATATCTCAGGCTCTACATCATCATTGTAGTTAAGGATTATGTTTGCTACTAAGTGGAACTTCGCTGCTTTTGTCTATGTTCTTTCTATGTTTTAAATGATAGCAAGTGGAGGCTCCTTGTTATGATTGGAGGACTACATCCGCAGGAATGTGATGCGAATTTTAAGTAGTCTTATAAGATATTAAAATAAGAATTCTAAACTGTCTTGGACAGGATATCTGTTCACATTACTGTCATGTACTAGCCTTGCTTTAGACATGTGATGGCTTCTGCTACTCTGGTGAATCCTTGCTACATGAATAATATAGATTATATCTCAAGGCAACTTATGTATTGTAGTGCTACTCATATTTCATATTTCAACATTGCTGTGCACTTCTACAAGCTAGAGTATGAGTGTTATTTGCACATATACCAATTCCAAGATTTAAGCAGGAGAAAAAAAAATTTGTTGCATTTGGGAGATCTTTTTCTCCCTTCTTTATGAGCAAACCAGAAGGCAGTATCTAGTCAACTTCCTAATTAAACATTTTTGCAGGCCCGTCCCTTATTTCGAGATCGGAAAAAGTTTTCACAGATGGCTGACCCGACGTTGCAAGGGCAATACCCAGCGAGAGGCTTATACCAAGCTCTTGCTGTGGCCGCTATGTGTGTTCAGGAGCAGCCTAACACGAGGCCAGTCATTGCGGATGTGGTGACGGCTCTTAGTTATCTAGCTTCCCAGGAGTACGACCCAGATTCGCAATCAGCTCAGAGTTTCCGTTCAAGTTCCTCTACTCCCAGAGCAAGAAGAGATCAGTGAAAGGGAAAGGAAATTGAGTTGCATTCAGAGGGAAATGGAATTGACGCCACAATTGCTCCGTGGCTTCTTCATGTGAGAAAGTTGAACTTCCTGGCCTTGTCTGTGATTCAGAGGTCATTCTGATGGAGTTCTTTTTAAAGAAATTACAGGGCTGCACAAAATTCGTCCTGCGATGGGATTTTGAGTCCAGTCTAGATGGTTGGTCAGATGGAATGCCAGTAGCTGCTTTGACTGTTAGAATGAGCCTTTTTCATCCTGTGGTTCTCTCTCTCTCTCATTTTTTGGGTGTAGTTGACATTGGGTTTTATGTATCTAAATGTCATTTATACATATTAGCTGATGAACATTAATACATTGTATATTTCTTGAATACATGAGGGGCCAGCTCAATGAAAGGTGAAATTCTCTTGGAAGAATTCTTAGTTTGCGGGAAACTTGATCATTGGCCAACTTGCGCCGAGGGTGCGTAAACTATGGACATCCGAGAAATAACTGGGTTGCTCGATGCCAAAGAGAGCAGAATGGTAGAAGATTGTATCATCTTTTCACAGTTTCCCTTTCACCCTCCTTCCTGCTGCTAGCTGAAGATTATTTGCAAGTAAGCTGTACCACATCTATGGTGTCGTTCAGGGGTGTAAGAAATTTTGACACGAGTTGAACCGTAGATATTGAGAAACCCAAAAGATGTGTTTTTGCACTAATTATCAAAAGTAAACGCATTAGCATGTTTAACAAAAAACTTTACATTTTGCAGTGATACGAATCAATCATCTCGAATCGGACATATTAATCTTAATTGTATTCTATCATCAGCTGGATTTCGCCGAAGCCCGAGTCGAGAGATTCGAATCATGGAAACTAACGAAGCTTTGACCGAAGTCTGGCATGCGTTAAGATCTCATTAAAAATCGCTGTCTAACCATTTAGGGGTACTCTTAGCCGAAATTGTTCAATCGAAAAGGCTATTGCTCATCAGGTTTGTTGATTAGCCTAAGGTCATCTTCAATTTCAACCTTATAATCCCATGTCCTTTAGTTTTCATTTGTTGAGGAAGAATTTCACTAGCAATGTTTCGTATTCCATCCCGAGTCAGAAAGATTTTGTATGAACATAATGTCGAGAGAATAGATCTCTCTCTCTCTCTCTCTCTCTCTCTCTCTCCAAATATTTTGGAGATGGAGAAGCAAAACATCTAAACCCAGGTGTTGCTTAAAGAGCCTCCATTGCGCCACTTTAGATACTCAACACATATGCTGATCCGACATAGGACTGAAGACCCCACCTCGGAAGGGAAGCTTTAAACCTTTGACTTGCAACTTTCGTGACTTTTCATTGGTTATAGCTTAGGAAATTGCTAACTTTCAAGATTGTTGCGTAGGAAATTCACTCAATGCTCCAAGAATTGAAGTAAGAACAGTGGATTTGAACAGAACCGAGCCGGATTAGTCGTATGAAGTACCGAACTTGGAGAAAATTATTTGGGTTTTTTTTTTTAAGGGGGGGTGCAGGACTCCAATATGTCTCCAGTTGTTGAATGAGTAAATTATTTAAGAGAGCAGATGATGGCCTATCAAGAACATCAATGAAGGTAGACAGAGAAGGCTTTGAAAGAAACAATGAAAGACTACACAAGATTTGAAAATGAAGGCTTTGACATAAACATGAGAAGCGAAGAGATGTCTTCAAGTTGTTGAGTGGGTTAGGTTTACGTTAGATAACAATAGTACGGACCAGAATTTATAGCATTTTTACATTGCACACTTTAAAATGCAAAGCATGTGAATTTTTACTTACCGGCCAATACTCAAGTCGAACCAAACGCACCATATATCTCCACAAAAGTTAAGCATCTCACCGATAGGAACTTCAAAGTTTTCAATTGCCCATGCAGCTAAAAAAAATGTGCTCTCTACCTTCTTTTAAAGAAAATGACATCTCTAATCCCAGATCGGTGTAATATTAGAGTCAGCATTCAATTCGGTCCATGGACTATCTTCATTGGATCAATTTCAATATGATCCTTACGCTGAAAGTAATTATACTTTTTTTTTTTTATCTTATCTCTAACTCTCCTCTCTATTTTTCTGACTTTTGTTCTGCCTCCAACATAAAGCAAGGAGTCGAACTCTGCACATGTAATACTAGCATTCTCACCCCCCAATCCCTTTACTTACAGGATCACATGACTTTTGGCAAAACAATTACAAGTTGGCGGACAATGTTTCAGAGGTGGGCTAACTGAGTGCAGTGTCGAACAAAGATGTAAGCTGGGCGATGAAATGGCCGTACCCCGACTTTATAAAACACGCACCCGCCTGAGCGTGCAAGGCCACGCACTCCAAGCTAGCCAACAAGCCATTGATCCGTACCTGAAAGTACAAACGAATGTGTACACCACAAAAGTTTTTTCCTTTTGTTTGATTGTATTATATCTGCGCATGTTTATGATGTATGAAAGTTCTTGCGACTTTTTTTCCATTTTGGCATGTCTGCTTTGTTATGCTCTTCGGGTCCATGAGCTCGTCTCACTGTTTTTCCATTATACCCAATCATAAAGCAAGATATGTGGTCTATGTCACGTTATCAAAAGCTGTCGTTAGTTTGGCTTCTTTGAATGTTTGTCCTATAAAGCTAAAGGAACAAACCACGCGTAAGCACAAATTCTCATCTTCAAAATGACACTAAGAAGAAAGGTAAAATGTTGCAGTTATCACGCGTAACCAAAACCCGAGTGGAAAAAGATTAGGAGAAGAGATATCAAATCCGCAGTTTCATCTTTCGGCTTAGATTTTAAAGCACCAAGGATCGCCCCACCTCTCCCGATCCCGCACCCCGCCACTGCATCCACCTCCTCCGACTCCACACCTTCCGCTAAATAAAATTTTCAGTCTCAATGACTGCAGGAACAACCCAAATCTATACCGCTGCACTGTTAAACACATGTACTTGCATACAACATATAACTCTAAAATATACCTCGCATTCTTTTTACATCCTTTTTCTGCTTTGCTATTGCTAATGCTAATTCTTATTGTTATTTTGAACGAACAAAGGAAACAATAAATGCAGAGTTCGTACAGGGATGGCGGAAAAGAATTACATATGTGCATGCACCACAAAATTCAAACTTCACCTGAATTGCTGCCTTCATTGGCCCGAGATTAAAAAATATATTATGCTGGGATAATAGCTAGGAACTTGAGTGACCAGTGACGTATATTTAGATGGCATTGGTCCCAATCAACCTGATATTGTTTGCTCCGTGCCCTGTGATTCGATCCCGTTGGTTTCCTTTAGGTGGGAGCTAGGACTCTGGGTCTCATCCGTAGGCTTTATATCATTTGGCTCGTCAGTGTTGGCTGGTTTTCCCTGCTGCTGTATTCAGAAAATGACGTCAAGAACCCCCCCACAAATCAAGCACGTTCTCTTAATTTGAAGTTAAAGGTGGTGTGTAGCAAAGCAATTTTAGTATCTGAGATTCATCGACATTTTCAACAATTTAGGACAGGAATCTTAACGATAGCAGAAACAGTGATTCTTGCTTCCTGGTACAGCTATGTTATAAGCTCCAAGTGAAACGGTATAATAAAGTGTTGTTTCACGTGGGAAAGTCTTTCATCCGAGCACACTTCCATTCATGCGTGTATGCAAACAGAGTGTAGCTATACATAAGGAAGTGAGTGCTAAAAAAATGCCACATTGACCTTGAACCTTTTAAAGACAGCCTGATTGCCTTAATGGCCAAGCAGATCATCCTCAAGATAAATAAATGCATTTACAGTGCTGACCTTATTGCGGTCCCGCCAGCCAAGTCCAAATGGTCGACTGAGAAGGCTTATCTTCCTGGTGGGCAGCTCTTGTGTTGACTCTTGATTACTGCTAAATTTTGGCAATGATTCGGAATGCAAGGATCTAAAAAGAAACATTAATTTAGAATTATTTTCCCCCAACCAACAGGAGTGAGTGCCAGATTTAGAAGAGTGAAGTATCACATGCACACAAGGAACAAAAATTTTGTATCTCAAGTGTGATACACATGCCAAAACTTAGTCACTCACAGTGACTGACCAGTGGATAACTTAGGAATACAGAAACAAGAACAGCAATTAGACCAGAGAACTCGATAGTGTCGCAAGGTTGCAATTGAAAGTGAGCAAGTTTAGACAATGAAGTCTGGCTACCTAGATACAACACTGATGCATGACCAGATAAATGTCTGTCTACCAATAAAGAAATGGCACGGATAAATGACCAGATAGTTTCTCCACTGATATGTCTTCTTTCTCCATTCATAACCAATGACATGAAACCGACTCTAGTTGGTTCCACTACCCTGGTTGTGCCTAGTTGGTACTTGAGTACTGTCGCAGTGAATTCTGAGAGGACTCAAGAATTCTCTCTTTGGGGTTCTTATTTTCTTGGTTTCAAATTCTTCAGGGTCTTCCTCATGTACCAGCATAAATATACCCCAAGAAAGGTCAGGACAGGCTTAACGGAATTAAACTTGTGAAAGATTATAATTATGCTAACAAATTGAATTTTTATTTTGGTTGAATAACAAAATGGAATTGAAATATGAAATAAATTAGTGCCAAATTTCGATGCCGCAGTTTCATCAGCAAGGATAATGTATGACACTTGAGCTGTTCCACTTTAAGCCATACCTCGGGGAAGGTTGTGCTTTGACTTGGCCAGACTGATATTGTAAGGTAGCCTCCAACATAGATTCTGCCATTACAGCTCTCTTCTCCATCTCACCAAGAGAAGCCATTGCTTCCTCATACTTTTCCTGCACAAACACAGCCATTCAACAAAGTTTGTAAACACAATCAGAGTAACATGCAGCTAGACATATATCCATTGACTATGTAGTTATGTAACCCATTGACAGTGACACCAGCAACAATTGGAAACATTTCTCAGAGAACACTGTTTTCTAGGTTCACTGATATCAGGCAATCTAAATAGTATTGGTTTTGACGTAATGTGTCAGCCAGAAGCACACTTCTAAATCTTCGAAGTATCCTTTTCAGTCACCATTTCAGCAAAAATGTGGAATAACACAGCCTGTAACAAACAAATGATCGTGACGAAATTATATCCTAAATATATTTCATGTGGCAAGTCATTGAAGGACATCATATGCATTTTACGATTTATCATAAACTCTGCAGAAGACACATCCATAACTCAGGAAAATCTCACCGTGTACGATCAAATAGTTATTCTAGATGCTAATTTATTCAAAGAGGAATTCATTATTATGGTAGAAGACAGCATCCAAAATGACCAATAGAACTTCTGAACTTTGATGTGAGATAATAACACAAACACTACGCAATAATACTGTGGAGAAGATAACATAATTTTGCAATCATGTTGAAGCGCAATAAGGTGAAATAGTTTCCCCTAGATGTATTTCCTGATGCTTTCTGACAGCCAGTTTCAACCATAAATGGAGGCGATTCTAAAACTTTTAAGAACATGATGTGAAACTTAAAAAAAAAAAAAAAACCTTGAGCAAAAGGCTAACAGAGAGACTCCACATTATCCAAAAAAATTTGAAAGAGAAAGGCTAAAAGAGACTCCTTTTTGCCCCCCCCTCTTAGAAGTAACACTAACAGTGGAGAAAGTGTGCTGGCCATCAGTTGCGAAAAGTAGAAACCGAGAAGCTGCTCTTAGGATACTCATTTTCAACGTTGTGGGCCCTAATATAGCACATTATAGAGAATAGCAAGGTTGAGTAGGAGTTCTGGCAGAAAGGAATGTAATAGCACAAGTTCTCTGAAAGCTAAACAGAGGCGCAATGATTGTTGGAATTACTGTTATGTTCTTTATGGCTAATGTTTTCCGAGCAGAATGTATGAGTTTCCCATTTCCCTGTCACATTTACGAGCTATGGAGACTGCCAGTCTTGTTGGAACTTAAGAAATGCACCACTATACAATATGATCGACCTGACGAGATTTAAATGTGCTTGTGCAATAAATTTGCCTAATTTCAACTGCCATTGGAATCTTATAATTATGTTTTGTAAGAGATATATTTCCATTCTCATAACCTCATGCATATACAGGCAAGCATATATTGCATAACATTATTACTTCCTGCCATTGATGAACTACACATCATCAAGTGCAGGAAGTTATAATGTTAATGTATCGCCTAAATTCACCCATACACGGGTAAGCAGATATTGCGTAATATCATTACTTCCTGCCCGCAATGAATTTCTTATACTCTCATAAAATCATTACTTCCCGATCAGCCAAAGAACTTCCCAACATTAAGGAGCAAACATGAGCAGTGACAAACCTGAAGCACTTGAGAAGCATATCTCTGTGCAGCTGCATCTTGCTCAGCAAATCTCCGAGCGTCTTCTGTTACTCGCTGCTCTTGCTCTACCCGCATTAGGACCTAAAACATGGATGAATATCTTAGTGACCACTACCCCACAACGCAAGAAAGAAAATGCTGAAGAACCGTCAATAGTGGATAAGGAAACAAACTTGAAGCATGACACTTTCTTGTTCCTGCTTATCAGAAAGAGCTCGTTGAAGATCAGCAACATCTAGCTCTAGCTTCTCAACCTGAAACAATAAGCATAATACAGTTTTGTTTCTTCTCCCTCGAGAGAGTAGAAAAAAACCCACTACAGAAAGTAACTTCTCTTGCTTAAGATTTTCCAAGATAGGACTGCTAATACTGCCTAGTAAGAAAAGACTGAAGGGGAAGAGAGATCTTTGCCTTTAGAGGCACTCTGCCAGAGAAAATAACCAAGGAAGATACAAAGGTGAGAGGAATCCTCCTTTTTTGGAGCATCCACCAGGGTATTTCATTCCATTTTGTAGAGACACAGAAAATTTTAAAGCTTAGGCACTTTCCCCTGCCTAAGGATGACTTCAAAATACAATTGGTTCCTTTCTAGTAGAGAGAGAATAGCCAAAAAATTCTCCTAGAGGCTAGTCAATGAGGTCCAACCCCAAACCCAACCCCCCCCCCCCCCCCCCTCCCGTGCCCCCCCACTCTTCCCCAATTAGAAAATTGTCATGCTCTGTGATTTGGGTGGTATACACGTGACTGTGATTTTGCAGTAAAAATTGACTTCTTTTCTCACAACTTGACTCTTATAAAAGATGAGAAAGAAATGCATCAGGCCTCCAGGCTCCAGCCAATTAAAAAGCTGGTAACTCAGAGCCCAGGGTACTGGTAAGTATACCTTCGCACTCAATTCTCGCCGATTATCCTGCTTGACCATCTCCATTAATGCTGTCTCAAGCTCCTCAGCTCTAGAGAAAAGGTAAAGCTTAAAAAATATTAGTGTCTTTGCATCACAGCAAATAGTTGGCTAAAAAATAGAGTACATCACAGCAATGCTGTCCCGAACTATCTTAGAATAGCTGTTAAAATTTCAGAATGATACATCAGCGAGTTATATCGTCCATCATATGTCTGAAGAAAATGTTGCTTGAGGGAGTCCAAATGAGGTGTTTAAGATAATAGATGCACTCCAAAAACAAAGGAACCACAAATATTCAACCTCAATTTCCTAGGGAAGAAAATTTCAAGGGTAATATGAATAGAAGGGGATGTCCTAGTGATAATCCTTAATGAGAATGAGACTCAGGGTAAACTAAGAGGTGAGTTCATGAATTAAGGCACATGCCATGCTATAACATTCGAATTCAATTCATAAAGAGCTTCAGACAAAATAGAACAAACCTCAGAACAGCAGATCTTTTCTCTTCCAGCAACTTGCAGAGCTCGACCTTCAACCAGACGACCTGCAGTTTAACATACCTCACAGTAAACGGGAAATTCTAAAGAAGATGCTAGCTGAAAATCTAGAATAAAAGCAACTTTTCTGGGATGTATGCTGCCATTAGCAAGAAAGATTTCTTTCTGAAATCTGATTTATCAAGAGATGTGACAACAAATGCCCCACACTTTGACTCTACTATTAGTGAAATTCGAGCGAGACAATAATTGAGACAAAGAGAGATGCATTGGCAGAAGCTCAGGAAAATCTATTGATAGTTCATCTTGAAGCAAAGTTGATGGTTCAACAATTACAGCGACAAAATAAACCAAGAAATGAGCAATTTAGGTGGCTAAGCCTTTCACTTAAATGGTCATAAGAACTCTCAATCATAAGCACACTAATAATAAATTTGACCAGGCTGTGCATAATGCAGACATATAGTTTTCTTAACGAAACAAACATGTCAAGCTTATAAAGAAGGAAAAGGTAAAAAGTATCAGACATAATTTTTACGACAACATCTGGCTCCTAAGATCTCAATCTCAGTTGACCTACGAACAATTACATCTTTAGCTGGCACATTTTTGTATGTAGAATTTTTCAATTTAATGAAACCAATTAATTCTAATTTGGAACTTGAAATTAAAGTGGATAACAGGCATCTATTACCAATGCGATAATCACACAAAATCAACCATTATAATTGTGATATCTGGTATTGGATTGACTTGACAGTTATACAGCTATATTAACTTCTAATGGCAAGTGATGGTCAATCCAATCCCTTAAACACACCGGCTATCCAGAAGGAATTTCACAAGGAATAGTGTCTGCCTTGTTCATCAGAAGAAAAAGCTTAAATTTGCCAAGTTCAACTCCCCCGTAGAGACAAAGAAATAGTTCAAAGTTTCTTTCTTGTAACAGCAGGACATCTTGCATGGCCATCAAGTAACAAATAAGTACCAATTAACTTCTTCCTTTCCAACATAAAGTAATCATTGCAGCAAAAGAGGAGGAAGAAAGCACAAAGTACCTGCTCCTGAAGATCTGGACCTGAATCTATCTCTAAGTCCCCTGTTAAACTGATAACAATTCCATCTGCATTAACAGAGTCAGAATTTGACCGAGATAAATCACCATTTGCTGTTTTATCAACCGATCCTTCTACTTTATCCGTTCCCGCTAGCATCGACTTAGGGTCGTGCTTAAAACCGTATAGTTTTGAGGCCAGACCTTGAGAATCCCTCCAAGCTCGAAGGCCCTTAGATCTTTCCTCAACTGCAGCTATTACTGCTGCCCGATGCTTATCTCTCAACTCTTGTAATCTCTTTTCATTTACATTTTGGAAGCCCATACAGGCTGTCAAGACAAGTTGGCTGCTATCAAATGTTGATCCAGTCAGTGATTGCAGCAAAGTGACAGCATCTCCAGCATCCTTGGTAGTAACTAATGCAGGTCCTGCAAAAAAAACTGAAGAAATTAAGTTCTGTAAAATAAGAAAATCCTCAATAGAAAGGAAATTTCATGCAGAAGCTCCACATCCAGAAGGTGCAAAATTTGTTTTTTTAGCTGTTTATCACAGTACCGTATAACTCCATCAAAGCGAGTGCGGTTCTGAATAACATGACACGGTTCCCTTCAAAAAGCAGCACATCCCAAACTCGAAGAACTGAAATTCATAAAACAGATCAATTACTAAAATCATCTTGCGAATTCTCCAGCACAAGTATAAGATACTTCTGTATGGGCAGCATCATGTCACATAAATAAAAGCAGCAGCATAGAACCTGACCACTTTCCCAGGGAAGCATATTCATAAAAATGGACAAGAACCAAGGCCCTGTAACCCATGCAATCTGCACCCCCAGGAAATCCAGATGATTGACTGCATTGTATAAGAGTGAAAGAAAAGTATTAAGCAAGCAATTTATAAGTAAACTAAAGAGAAGACCTGAAATTGCAGGTGTAAGAAAACAACGTACCCAATTTGGGAAATCTCTCTCGCACCAACTCCTCGAAAACAAGTTGATCAACCTAATATGATTAAAAAAAAAAAAAAAGATCACAACAACAGCCATGTGCGACACACAAGCATGTGATGTTTTGACAGTGGTTTTATCAACATCACTTATACAGTGAGCAAACATCAAGGGAAATGGAAAGGCCTGTAGCCAAAATGACACCTGAGATTCTATCATCTCTTCAGAGTAGTAGCCATCAAAGTAATCATCAATGATGCCCATCAAAGTCCTGCATATAGCACCACAAGATTTAGTAACTGATTTGCTAATGCTACAGATGTATCAGTTTTTTGCCAATAAAACTTTGCAACTTGGAAAAGAAAAATTCATGTTGGCCATCCTGATAAAAATATTGCACACTTAATTGTGGTCCTAAACCCACAGAGCTCAAACAACCAATTTGGTAAGCATTTTATACCAATGTTCATCACACGCTCACCAGAAGGCATTTTCTTCCGGCATCAGCAAAAGTAGTAAGCCAGCAAAGAAGTTCATAGCCTGCAGGTAAATTCGATTAAGAAAGATGTAGAGAGTCAATTATCTGATGAAAGTCAAAAGAATTTGACCATATATATTTATTAAAGAACAGAGCACCAAAAATATGAACAACAAATAATTCAAATAGTCAAAACATATCCCATGATGGACTTATACTTCTCTGTCAAATTGTAAAAAAAAATTTCTTGTGATTAATCTAGATTTCAATCGTAGCGTGCTCTCAGGCATCGTACAATCCTTTCCAAGCATATCTTTTGTACCACAGCTACTTAATTACCCATATAGCTGCTTTATTCTTGCGTTGACAAATCACATATAAGCTTATAATCCAATGAAAATAGCCAAGATTGTTGTAAAACCATTGATCCCCAAAGCATATGAAAATGCAAAATATTTGTAATTTTTGTAATACCAAAAACCTTTTTTAGATTATCATTCCCCAATATCCACCGATAATGCTCAGGATCTAGGGATGGTCTGGATGGTATATGCCGACATGACCTATTTACTTGACACAAACACTCAGTGTAATCATTCATGTTAAATTTAAGCTTAATTCAAACGTATCATATACAAGTCAACCCACTTATAAGCACCAAACAAAGGTGCTATGAACAGGTCGACGCTGATGACCCATTTGAACACATTTAAACATGTTCCACTAAGTCGACCTATTATTTGTGCAAACATACATTATCGTAGACAAATTGGCACGTTAGGACAGTATTTGTTTAGACAACTTTATATAAACTCATATATGAAAAGCCAACTCCTATATTTATAAAAGTCAAGTGTGTGATATTTTGCAATATATTTAGGAAATGTGTCTTGTTCAAGTCCAAAGATGTGACATCACAAAAAGGTGCCATGGTTGGATCATGCACATCTGCTCACGCAATTGATTTGACACAACACAATTGCATCAAAGATGCATTAAAAGCAAGCCCTACATGATCCAAGGTTTAATCATTACAGGTAATCTACATTATTAAACATCTCTCTCCCTCTCTCTCTCTCTCTCTCTCTCTCTCTCTCTCTCTGAGTCTACTCTGAGCCTACTTGTTATTAGTAGGCAATCAATCACCATGTTCACTTTAAAACAGGCTTTGGTGCAAGAAACAGCTCATAGGTAGCAGCAAGTGCTGGTCAATGCAGAGTTAGGTGATCTATTACTTTGCCAAAAGTTTAATGCACTGTCCACGGTAGTCGTTTTTGCCACACGATAGCACCCAAATGGGAAGGTTTTGGAGCCGCTCTCCGAGCTTGGATTTGCAAGAGAACTTCATCAGTTGGGCATACTGAGAAGCTGTTGGATGGACTAAAAGCCCCTCCAACAAGCCACATTTGAATTTCCCCCAAGAATACAAACATCTTGTTTCAATTTATGACAAATTGCGAAAAATATGTACGTGACTTTAGATGCAAAATTTATATGTACAAATATAGGTATGACAGTAAGAAAAGTCACAAATATCACTTTACAAGTAAATCGTAAATGGTAAAAGTCAAAACCAAAAGCCAAACCTATGCAACAAGGATTGAACAAAAAATAATGGAAATAATTGCCGAATATTTCCAGCCTGTTTAACCCGCAACTCAATCCCTTTGTGTTACTTAGGCCCGTTTTGCTGACTAGGTGCCACATGGCACACTCTTTGGAACTTAGAAGTACAGTTGAAAGAAACTACCAGTTTCTGTAATGTGCCACATACGTAAAGTCTTTGAATGGGATGTGTATTGGAGGGCGAACCATAGGTTTAAGTGATTAATTAAGTGAGAGGGTGGATGTCCATTAAGGGTCTCACCACAATATTCTGTTGTTAGAAATCGTGGACAGGAGAATGAAGTGTAAGAAAGAAAATACCTGACAATATCCTACAGATGGATTGTGACGTGCATATGCAGTCAACAACCGTCTTAAAGCATTTCTACCATCCTCGTCAAGGGCAGGATGACCAGGAAAGGTTCGAGGCAAATCCTGCATTGCCAATGCAATAGAGCAGCCATCATATTAGCACATACAAGCTCACATCAAATGAAGCAGGGATGAATTCTCAAGGTTTGTACTATGGTTACCTTTTCTATCTGCCCTTTCCATTTTTCAGGTATGCTTACAGAATCTGCGTCTGAGGCCTTACTGTCATTATCTGATTGCACCATTTGCTCTTCCACGGTATTTCCAGCATAATGCGGCTTTAACAGATCCTGATAATAGTTCTGCACCCGGCGTGTTTTCACACCGACAAAGGCTTGCCAAAGCTGAAATACAGGCATGGAAGTAGAAAAAGTAGATTAGGTGAAACTGTACCTTGGTCCAAAACACAGCTCTGGAATATGATATACCTCTCCCCGTAGTGCCATTGGCACTCCCCCTCGAACAAGAACCTCCAACTCTTCTTTCCAAGGAAATGAAGATTCTGAAGGAGCATCCACCATAGCTTCTGGAGCAGTGACATTGGAACTATCACTGGATACTGTGTCCTGAATGTGATCCGATGATTCTGATCTCTCAACATCATAAAATTCATCCTCTGAGTCCTCTTCAGATGCTCCTTTCGGGGATCGAGCCTCTTCAAACGGAAGAACAAGCTTTGCACTTTCAGTTAATTGCTCGTTCTTCTTTGTACTGCCCTTTTTCTTTACACGAAGGCTCATCATATCTTCGATAGCACAAAGAGAAGGTCTTATCTCGGTCCATATTTGGGCCCTATGAACTCTTGACTCCTTCAAAGCTGGAATCACTTTTTCTAAAACATTATCAGAACCAGGCTTGTCACCAGTAGGTTCATCTCCTTCAACATCGTCCTTCAAATTGTCATTTGCGTCTCGGTTGTTCCTTTCATGCTGTGAAATATTGCCATCTACTTCTGAAGCTAGAGCATTAACAGGCACTTGAGCAGTTTCTGCTTGGCGTTCCAGGAAATTACTCCATCTCTCTGATCTTTCTTCCTCTTCCTCCTAAAACAAGCATATCGAATAATAAACTGCTGTTTCTTCACCAAAAACATTACTGACAAAAGTCTCTCTCAATTCTTAGGATAAGTAAAATTGAGGGCTGCATTGATTAATGGCTAAGAACCACAGGAATAGCCTCTTAATATACCGGAGCACAAACAAAGAACTAAACTGCCACGAGATTTTCAATTGAGTCAACAACTTGGGCAAAAGTTAAGCAGTCCACAACTTTTCAGCATTTTGGTTGTTAGAGATTCGCGGCATCTTACAGTGAGCTACAAAAAAATGCAGAAGAAAATGAGCAGCCAAAACCTTGTAGATGTTTGCATATTCTCGATATCTTTGTACATGTTGAGGTCTCACTGCAAAGCCATATGCATCCCTGCCAGAACAAGCTCTCATCAGCTTCTATAGTCCTCTCGGCTCACAACACCACAGCCCGACTCCAATTTAGCATCGTGCAGTCATCATAAGCCATAAACAAGTAGAACGAACAACAATTTGAGCTCAACAAGTCCCCCAAACAACAGATCCCAAAAGAAGTCCAGCTTAACCACAACTTCCTAGCTGGGTTTACCTGCAATCAGCTTCCAAGGACCTCCCGCTCGGGCTAGACAACAACATAATCCGCTCAAAACATGGTTCCTACTTCCCATAGCGCTCGACATTACATCGGCGCGACCGAGATTTGCCACAAACAATCACGCATTCGGCTTATTTTTTTCGGTCGCAAGCAAACGAACCAAACAAAAAAGAGAAGAAAAGGAAACGTTCAGCTCCGAGCACCATCCCAGAAAAAAGTAAAAATAAAAAAAAAGGAACGAATACGCATAGAAGACGACCAAGCTACGGGCGACACTTTCAGAACTTTGACTAAGACCAGTCGCGCGACCGAATTTGACTCGATTGCGCCCACCGGAACGCACGAGCGTCAGCAGAGCGCATCGGAGATCAATGCGATCCGAGCAAGAGGAGGAGGAGCAGCCGCGGCGATGCCGGCGACACGCCGCCCGAAGACGACGACGGCGATCCTCGCGAATCGCCGAACCGGAAACGAAGCGAGGCGGAGCCGCGGACGGATCGGGGAGAATGCGGAAAAGGTCAGCGGGAGCGCCGCGGGGGGGACGCGTGGGGGGGAGGGAGGGAGGGAGGGGGGAGGAGATACCTCTTGTGCTCGAAGGCGATGACGGGGCTGATGACCTGGGCGTTCATCGGGTGGTGCGGGTGAGGGGGGACGGATCGATTCGGATTAGATTCAGTTTTCGGTTGGTTCCACGTCGGTCGTCTTCTTCGGGAAGCAGGGGCAGGAGATCTCGTGGGGGGAGGAGAGTGGATGGCCTCCTGGATTCTCTGCAACTGAATTCTAGAGAGAGAGAGAGAGAGAGAGTGACGGTGGCGGTGGCGGTGGTGGGGAGGGAGTGAGGAGTGTGGGCTAAGCGAAGGAGGGGGAGGGGGAGGGGGAGGCACATGCAGGTGGCGAGATTATCGTCGGCATTTCACCATGTGACCTTCTCGTGATGCGGGCGGAGTTCCTCCCCCGCAAAGAAAGAGAGAGAGAGAGAGGAGAGAGAGAGAGAGGAGACCGTGATTTTCTTATTTTAATAATTTTATTTTATTTATTTATTTATTATTGTTTTTTTGTTTTTACGGGAAATTCAATCATGGATCGCCAGTTTTTAACCGAAGATGGGATGGCGTGGCGGGGCCCGCCCGGTTCCCGGGGGGGTGAAAAAATGAGAAAAGGTTCCCCCATCGTATTTTGCCGACACGGAATTTCAACGTTGCCCCCCCCGGTCCCGTTCTTGAATTTTTCTTTTTCTCGTTTTTTGTTGGGTCAGGTTTTCATTTACCTGTTAACCGGTTGCGGATTTTTTTTTTTCCGGGGCCCGATCCCCTTAAAAAAGCGCTAACTTTTAACTCGAGTCCCGATTTCTATAATAAAAAAAAGACATCGACTTGAGCTTGGGTCCTGATCCCAGCTCAAGCCGTGCTTTGTTCCGCGGAGAAGTGTCGATTTGAGCTCGGGTTCCGTTTCCGGCACAAGATCTCTCCTGGCTAGTAGCAAAGCATTTGCTTTCGATCGAGGCTCGAACTCAGCCCGTATGAATCTTTTCGTAATAAACTTCGCTCAAGTACATGTGGAGTGACTTGGGAGCCTGATTTGCATGCCAACCGAAAGTTAGTATTTCTTTAGGAGACAATAAGAAGTTTGGGTTAAAATTGCGACTCAAGCTAAAACTGGCGCTTTTTTACGAGACAAATAAAATTAAGAGAAAAATTGGAGATTTTTTTATAAGAGCAAAAGAATTTAGGCCAAAATTATGACCCAAAATTTAAAGTTTGTACTTTTTAAGGAAATTAGGCCTATTTTTTTTTTCATGTTGTGTTCGAAAAATGACGGGGGTGTTTTCAGAATAATTTCTTATTTTTACTTTTTCGTATAGAGTTTGATTTTCACTTTCTAAAGACATTCCATCTCGGCCGGGAAAAGGTTGCTTGTTCCCGGACCCACGCGCAATTAATGCGCTTTGCTCTTGCATGGGTGGGGGTTACCCCGTTTGCTCTTTGGGTCACAATCATGATTTTCCTTCAAACCGATAATATAAGCTGTTTTGTTCTTGCTCTTTTTTTCTGTTGTGCAAAATATAAATTTTTTTAACACGTAGACTTGTTTAAAAATACTTTTCATAATTTCAAATTTTCAAAATATATTACGCTAAATAAATAGGGTTAATATCACAATTTGGTACGCTTGCGACGAATTTACCACATACTAATTTTTGAGTCATCAAAAATCATAAATAGATATATCTGTGACAAATTTACCCCAAAAATAAATTTTGGATCACACAAAACTCCAAACTGGTACACGTGCGACATATATACCTTCCGTTAGCTTCCATCAAATTTGACCTTGAAATTGCTGAACCGAATGACATATGGTAATAACTTTGGCAATTCCAAGTGGAAATCCACATCAATTTGGCGTTAAATTTGTTACAGGTATATCGGTTTGGGATTTTTGACCCAAAAATTAGTTTGGGGTAAATTTGTCACAAATGTTTTAGTTTGGGTTTTTGTCGAATCAAAAATTAGTTTGGGATAAATTTGTTATAAGTGCATCAGTTTATGGTTTTTCGCGATATCCCAAATAAATATACTATGAGCTTATTTAGGTTGGCTAGTATCTCGACAAATTCCTGGACGATATCCTTATTCTATTGAGAAGACATGGGAGAGCGACCTTGAAAACCCTGAATAATGACGAAAGCCAATGCACAGACAATCGAATGCAGCATAGCCAAGACAAACCACACGCTCCGTGCATAGAAAATGCTTGATTTGTCGGATGATACCATTTCCCTATTCTTTTCGGTGGGCAAGAGACGGATGGAATCCTGCCCGCATGCTTGCTTGCTTACCTAAGAGCAAATTGCTAGGCTGGTGCCAACTACCCCCAACAACACGTGTTTTTACGACGCTCTTTTGGTATCACAACTTCTCGATCAAGCTCTGATAAAAAGATTGAAAATCGAATTTGGGTCGATGTACAATCAAGCAGAAAGATTGCATCATTTTGGATATAAAGTGACATCATTGTGTGTGAATGTGTATTTTAAATATGTACTATACATGGTGTGTGGCATGGAAAGAAATGTTGAAGTCGACGTCAAGTTTGCCAATGCGATTTATTTCGAAAGCTGCGTGGATTCGTGCTTTGAAATTGAATTTTGAGTGATTTTTTTTGTGCAATATTAGGTAATTTCGGCATAGCCAGCATCTCAACAGCATAATTCCGACCTAAAATTTAAAACAACCGCTACTACAGGGTAGAAACATGCATAATTTCTACAAAAAAACATAACAACATATTTTGAGAATAGAGATTTCATTTCAGCATTACGGCGACCTAAGAACATATGATTTACGACTATTCAAACAAGCAGCATAAAAAGGTTGCTTCAATTTTATGATTCTAAATGAACATTACAATGTTCTAGCATGCAGTTTTATTCAAAATTGGAAACGAAGGTATTGGGAATTACCTTAAAAGCACGAGAACCTCAAAAGTGTCAAAACCGCAACCAAATAGAGAGAATTTCTAGAGATCGCTGTAGGGATCGAGACCTCCAATCCCAAAAACGACTAAAATGAATGGTATTTATCAACAAAACATGCCATCTCGTCTTGAGGTACACCTGCCTCACTTGCGTCTCGAGTCGAGACTCGCTCTTCATGAGCCTGTATCTTCTCCATTTGATGTCCATACCGTGTGATTTTTTCACCTTCAATATACTCTTGATGAGAGCTTTCCAAAGAGCCCAAAATTGCCAGATAAAATCGCAAAATCATGGATAAGAGATTTTAACCCATATCGAGGCCAAAGGCTCGGGTTTATGAACATGGTGTCGTTTCAGTGACTTATCATTTTCAAATATCATCATTAACCATAACATAGGGGCCTAAAATATCTTGATTGGTTCTGCTTCTAGGTACGGTTTTTTGCTTTGGAACCTTTCTTTAGAGTATCAAAAAGTTTGACCATCGATATCTTCTTCATCCAATATTCATTTGACCGATGTTGGGATGCTTGCAATTCCTAATTTCTAGATGTGTCATTCCTCACATTGCAAAGAACAGGTGCCCTATCTTGCAAGATAAAGATTTGATTGTAGGATTTGGAGTAGCAACATGAATGTCAAAAGAGTTGTTGGAAGCTAACAAAGGCAAAAATGAATTTTGTGATTATTACAAGCGTCCGTATTACACTAAAGATACTTGTTGGAAGTTGTATGGGAAGTCTACAAATAAAGAAAAGAAAGAAAATGCTTTTCTGCTTACCAGGTCATGACACAAGTTGATATAAACGATTGGCCTATCGGGAATGATTAATTCCAGCAGCATTATGCAGGCCTTGAGTCAACTTGGCATTCTTGATAAATCTACTAGCTTCTCAGGTACCTCTTTTTGCTTGATGAGTTCAATTTCCACTAATGCATGGATAATTGATTTGAGTGTTAGTGACCACATAATCCGTGACAAAACGTTTCTTTTCCCACATTCACATTCACTCGCATTCCTTCATATCAGTACGTCTTCCAAATGGAAACGTAACTTCTGTCACTAAAATTAGCACTATCCGACTTAGTTTGTAAATTATACTCAAGAATGTCCTTTTTATCCTGAAATTTTAATTTAACATTATCTCTGTCTCCAAAGTTTGTGAAGACAATTCCTGTCATGTCATTTTAGATTTTGATATTTGTTTTTTTTCAGGTCCTTTTAATTGGCAAACTAATGGGCTTGGGTACTATTCATCAAGGACTTTACTTTTGGGCTAGATTTTTTTAAAAAAATTGATTTTTAATGTACTCCCTTCAAAAAGAGTACTCTATGTAATGCCAAAATTTATAATAATAATTTTCTTTCTCATTAGCAATTGGGTCACAGTGCCACTTTTTCACATCCTAATTGTCCTATTTGTCTTTTGGCGAAGCAATTACGGGTCCCCTTCCCAACTAGTACAACATGCACTACTGCCCCTTTCTCTCTCATCCATATTGACATCTAAGTTTCATATCACACCCCAGCACTGTGATGGATCTTGTTTCTTTCTCATTATTGTTGATGAATACATACATGCCACTTGGCTCGTCCTCATGCAATCCAAACCTTAAGTACTTTCCCACCTTATAAATTTCTTTACTCTCATTAAAAAATCAGTTTCATAAATCTATTCAGCGTATTTGAACTGATAATTCACGTGAAAATTTTAATCATGAATGCTCTTCTTTTTTCTCCTCCCGTGACATTCTTCATGAGAGCTCTTGCACCTACACTCCCCAATAAAACGGGATTGTCGAGTGTAAATATCATCATCTTCTAGAGGTTGCTCGTGCTATTAAATATCAAACCTCTATTCCAGAAATGTTTTGGGGTGATTGTGTGATTATAGCAGCCTACCTGATCAATTAGATGCCAACTCAGGTTCTTGAGGACGAATCCCCTTCAAATTACTTTTTGGAAAGTGTCCAAACATTGATCATTTGCAAGTTTTTGGCTACTTATAGGTATCCCACTCTTCAGAAAAGATACCGTGTCTTAGATCCATCCTCCAAACAATTCTTTGTGAGCAGAGATGTTTTCCATGAAGACGTGTTTCCTTTTCAGACTTAGCTATCTTCACCTCAATAGGCTAGCTTGACACATGATTCACGGCCTTACTAATTGAGGAGGAATCATCATCGCCTCCACCTTTGATTATGATTGTGCCTCCAAAGCCTCCAGCTTCTTCCCATTGATTGAAAATACTCCAGATTCTTGATTAGATACGAGTCCTCTAATTAAGCCTCTCATTGACTCTCTGCTATTGCCAGCTATTGAGACTTTTGTCGCTTCTGCATC